GAATTATAATAATAACCATAACAATCGATGACATTATTATTATTATTATTACTATTATTATAATTAGTCTTTATAGTTTTATTAGGTTTTGATTTTAGTCTTTATATTTTTTTAGTGTTTTAAATCCTTATAGTTTCAGTAATATTAGGTTATATTTATTTTTTAAGTTAATTTTAAAGACTATAAAAACTGATTACACTGAAAATAAATTAGAAAGACTAAAAACAAAACTTACTAAAATACCAATGATTGTATTTCCTTTTATTATTATTATTATTATTATTATTATTATGCTGCCGCTGCTTAATTTTCAAGCTAAACACGCTGGCGGATCTAACCCGGAACGAGGAGGCGGCGTAGAATTCGAAGGGCCCGATACCATTTCTGACCCGATTGCGGGTGCATCTCCTTCCGGCGGGGTCGCAACTCGCAACCACTCGAGATGCTGGTTCCCGAAAAGAATCGTGAACCGAAGCACGTCGGCGTCTAATAAGATATCCCGGTCGGATCTTTGAAATCTACAGAAGAATGGTGAGGGGATTGCTCAACAAGCTCGTATCTCGGTCGATGTCCGTTGCCGGGAAATGGCAACAACAATAGCTCCGCCGCCTCAACATCCATGAATACCAGGTCCCTTTCAATTTTCATCCTTATTATTCATCTGCAACTTGAGAAAGAGATGGAGTTGAAATGGTTGTTATACTGCTATTGTGCTCTGATGTCGTTGCCGTGATCGGTGGTTGGAAATCTGCATCTAGGAGTTGCCTCTTGGTTAACGACTTAGTTGCCTGCCTTCCCGATCTGTTCCTGCGGCATTTTACTTTTTTCCGTTATGGTTTCCGTGTTGTTTATTCGCACATTTCCTTGGGAGTGCAATGATAGATACTTGTGTTGTTTGAAAGAAGCCACCTGTTGGGGGTTAATGGACATATCCGGGCATGCTAATTTTTGGATCTTTTTAATGTCTGACTATTTTTTAGCCAAATATGACTAATGATCCCTGTTTTTTCCTTAAAATCAGGCAGCTCAATTGATGAGCAAACATGGAGTCAATGTTCCAAGAGGCGTAGCTGTTTCCCCTGTTGAAGAAATCAAAAAGGCAATCAGTGACGTATTTCCGAACGAAAGTGAGGTAACAATTCATACCACTGATGCTAGCATAAGTTACTGAACTGGAGAAAAATGGTTTTCTGTTATTAAAGTTATTTCCTTATTACAGTTATAAGAAGTTTAAACTTCCAAACTTCCTTTCCAAAACAGAATGCAATAAAAATACTTATTAGTTATTACTGAACTTCTTGAGCGATTAAAAACACTGTAATTTTGATTATGATGCAGTTGGTGGTTAAAAAGTCAAATTTTGGCCGGTGGACGAGGTTTGGGAACATTTAAAAGTGGTCTGAAGGGAGGAGTTCACATCGTTAAAACTGAACAAGTTGACGGCATTGCTGGTAATACATGTGACTTCCATGATATTTCAATTTGAAGGTTTTCTTGTTCGCAAATCAAATGCCATTGGCCTTCGTTATATCAGGCTATAAAGAAGTTGCGCGGGTTGGGTTTGAATGTCTGCCTAAGATCATGGTTTTGTTACTTTGGTTTGTTCCGAGTTATGACTGAATTTTTTGTATGCTTGTCTATGCTTTGGATTTGAGATGTAGTGATATTTGGCCAGATTTTTTTCCCCAAAGATGTAGGATTATAACTCATTGATCAATTAGTACCTAGTCTGAATACATGGTTTAATAATGCTAGATGATTGAAAATTTTGAGGTCATTTTGCTTAGTGCTATTATTATTATGATTTGTTGTTATCACTATCATCATTTCAGGGAAAATGCTTGGGCAGATACTAGTTACCAAACAGACTGGTCCACAAGGAAAAATCATTAGCAAGGTGTGACACCATTCAAGCACTAATCTGAAATCTACCAGCTCTTTTAGCTTCCTTGCAAGTTTTAGAGAGATTGAGATTTGGTAAAGCTGTGCAATGGCTGCAGTTTTGAAAAACTTACCTGAATGGTACTTTTTTTAAACTCGGACATTCTTTGAACTCAAAATCATAAAAACTTACCTGAATGGTACTTTTTTTAGACTTGGACATTCCTTGAACTCAAAATCATAACTCTATTTTGTTCTAACTCACACATTCTAGAGGAAATAATGTTTATTCCAGCTGATGTTTTATTTTATTTTTTTAAAAATTACTTCAAAAATATTACTTGATATATTATGCTAACAGGAATTCCTGAAAACTAGTAATGCAATGCGCTGACGTTTCCTTGTCAATCTTTATAATTTGAAGAATAATTGTGTTTTTCATCCTTTTTGTTATAAATTATCTGTTAATTTCTTTTATTTCACACACACACAACTATGTAATTAAAGTGATATATTGGCTCCAGCAGATTTTATTGTTTGATACCCAATTTTTTAATTACTACAGGTCTACTTGTGCGAAAAGCTGTCACTTGTGAATGAAATGTATTTTGCCATAACTCTGGATCGAAAAACTGCTGGTCCTGTAAGTTTCAAATTTCAGCATGTTATCTTTTGAATTTGTTTTGTACAGGCAAGTATGACTCGTACCATCTCTGATGTATGACTCCCTCTCCTGCTATTTTTTGTTTTGTTAAATTCAATCAATCAAGAGTGATGTTGCTTCTTACTTGTTTTTCTTTTGGGTTATTCAAGCTGATAATTGCTTGTAGAAAGGGAGGAACCAGTATTGAAGACCTGGCAGAGAAATTCCCAGACATGATTGTAAAGGTTTGTCGTTTTCAGCATTTCTCATGATCATATTTCTGCTGAAGCAGCGCCCTTGCTTTTCAATATACACCTGATGTGTTCATTCTTTTAGTAGGTACCTGTTGATGTTTTTGAAGGGATTACTGATGAAGATGCTGCAAAGGTTGTTGATGGTTTGGCTCCCAAAGTGGCAGATAGAAACAAATCAATTGAGCAAGTGAAGAATTTATACTAACTTTTTTGTCAATGTGACTGCACTCTTTTGGAAGTAAGCACATATAAATTTTATTCATGAATTGCTTGGTCACGTGATTCATGTCTACTTTCTACATTTTAATTCTGCAAAGATTCATGTATGCATAAGTGGATCTTCTTGAACAGATCAATCCCATGGCTGAGACTGCTGATAACCAATTGGTGGCTGCTGATGCCAAGTTGAACTTTGATGATGATGCTGCATATCGTCAGAAAGAGATATTTGCTCTCTGTGATACATCCCAAGAGGATACTCGGGAGGTTTACTCACATTTCCTTTTGTTTCTAATACTTTTTAATTTTGATATGTTTGTATGTGGTTGTTCTTGATTTATATGCTTATGATAAAACTGAAGAATTTGTATGACCATGTCAGAATTCACAATCTATTTGTGCCTTGTTATCAAGACCATATTTTATAGCCTTTAGTTTTTGCTGGGTATGCCCAACAATCCATGCCTTCCATCTGGGACAGGTGGATGCTGCAAAGGCAGATTTAAATTATCTTGGGTTGGATGGAGAAATTGGTTACATGGTGAATGGAGCTGGCTTAGCGATGGCCACAATGGACATAATCAAATTGCATTAGTCTTAGCTTTAAATGCCTCTGAAAGCCAGGTGATGCTTCAAAGGTAGCGTTGTTATCACCGCTCCCATTCTAGCATTAGTCTTAGCTTTGCTTTTATAACCAAACTAATTGCTTCTTTAAATATATCGAGTATATATAGCAGATCAATTTGGAACTTCTGGATTTTTTTTTTTTTTGCCTTCAAAAGCATGGTATTTGGCAGTTCCTGAATATGAGCCACTTTATGATATTCATTTGGTTATTCCTAATTATTATATTCATATCAAGCAGGTGATTGCAGCCTTTAAAATATTGACTGCTGATGACAAGGTGAAAGCAATTTTGGTAAACATTTTTGGCGGTATAATGAAGTGCGATGTTATAGCAAGTGGAATTGTAAATGCTGCAAAACAGGTTGATAAAGTCACCCTTTCAGCACTTGGTTTTTTTCCTATGGCCTGTTAAATATTTTAGTTTGAATGAGTTATCTTCTGTGCTAATCAACTCTTAGATGATAATGTTATCTTGTTATGTGGAATCGTATGATTTCAAATGACTTGCATGAGGTCAAGGTATGGCCAAAAAAAAAAAAAAACAAAAAGAGAGAGAGGGAGGGAGGGAGATATGTGAAAGTAATATTATTTCTCTCTCTAACTTCTATTTTAATGCTCATATTCTTGGTATCTCGTCCAAATTAACTCAATTTCCTATAAGTTCATGATTTTTATGGGTCTGTCGAGATTTTATTTCTAATTCTCTACCTCTTCAAGTTTATACTGATCTTCATCCTCACTTTGCTTATGCCTTCAAGGTCGCACTACAAGTACCGGTAATCGTGCGTCTTGAAGGCACCAATGTTGACCAGGGAAAAAGAATTTTGAAGGTAAAAATGCTTGGATTGTTTGGAGATATATAGAAATTGCTTCCCAATGGTTACTCATGTTGATGATTATTAATTATTACAACAGGAAAGTGGCATGACGTTGATAACAGCGGAGGATTTGGATGATGCTGCTCAGAAAGCAGTAAAAGCAGCTTACAGTTAAAGGAATTCTTTTGTTCGATTTTCATGAACTTTAGTTTTAGCGCTGTTGAGCTGAGAATAGGTATTGAAGCCCAAAAGTACAATGAAAGAGAGAAATTTTTGCCCTTTGAAGTTGGGGTTAACCCAGCTCTTCCAATAAATCGGTGCTTCTCATTCGTAGAAGTTCATGTGAGTTGATGCGCTGTTGCACATGATTGCAATGTGGCTCATTCGGTTGCATCAGGGAAACATGATTACGATATGATGTTTCCTAGATGCAATTAGATAGTTGTAAGCAAAGGCAAGTCGCTAGTTTTCAGATGGGCATTATTTTTTCACTATTTACTGGGCCTTGTTCCTGATCACTGTCAACGACGAGAGAACGATACTATGCAATGGGGCCGGTTATGAAGAAAGGTGCGAAATGAAGAATTTATTCCAATACATGATAATATATTATGATTATATGATTACAATAGCCAATCTAACCAATGATTCATGGTTGGTCTATTTATCCTTTTTGAACGACTCCGCAATTTTATTGGCAATGCAGTATGCGGTGGACTGGATGGTTATCATGGGATTGACGCCAATAGCACTGGGCAAAACGCTTCCATCACAGACATACAAGCTTTTTGCTTCCCAACTCTCCCCATTCTCATCAAGAGCACCTTCTTGTTCGGTAGGACCCATTCTACAGCTTCCCATTTGATGAGCTGTGGCATAGACGGTCCACAGTTCACCCCTTGATCTTGGACCCCCCACTACTATGACATTGTCCAAAAACTCCTCCACGTCTTCCTGCTTCACCCCTTTACACATCATTCTCTGTCCATCGCTCCTAAATGTTCCCACTTCTACAGCTCCTGCTCCAATCAAAACTCTCAGTGCCAATCTCAATCCATCTCTGAGGTTTTCTTTATCCCACTGATCCAGTCTGTACTTGATCCTCCCTTCTTTCAACACTTCTCCTGATCCTCTGTCTCTGGCTAGTGCAAAAACTATAGCAGTTCTTCCATACTTCGCCATCCTGTCTTTCATATCCTTTCCTGAAACCCATGGAACATATGCAGAAAATGATCCAGGCCCAACTATTGGGGTTTCTAAGATGAATCTTGGGGTGGAATTCTCAGCATACACCTTATGGATTGAGGTAATGATTCCTCCCTCATGGTTGGTGCCATCATATCCTGTTATATCTTCCGGGAAGTATCCCCAGGCAAATAGAACAGGATGGAGGTGGAGGTTCCTTCCAATGTTCGGATTTTGCAGCCCACTGGAAATCATCAGAGGAGGTGTCAAGAGAGATCCACATGCTGAAACTGTTACCTTTGATTCGATTTGGAGTTTCTTTGAAACTTTACTCCCCAGTGTTGTTGCTATCACTCCCAGGCATTTCTTTGTCCTTATTCCGCTCTTCCCATCCTCCAATATGAGCTTCTCAGCTTTACATCCAGTTAGGATCACTGCACCGTTTTGCACAGCATCAACCAACCAAGTGGAGTCCGTGCCCTTTTTATCTCCAGTTCTACAACCATAACAGCAAGAACCACAATAGTGATCTGCTGAGGCATTGATAGCAACTGACTCGATTTTCAGGCCAATATTCTCACCCCCTTTTCGAAGAATTTGATTCTGAAAGCTCTCTTTGGCACACTTATCTGTAACACCAATCCTTTTCCAGACTGCTTCCATGGCAGATTGGTATGTGGAGCTTCCATAGAGTGGAATTTTGTAGTGTTCCGACCATTCCCTGAGAACAGAATCAGGCGTTTTGATGGATGCAGACCAGTTTATGGCCGAGCCTCCGCCTACTGTTGAGCCAGCCAAAACCATCATTTTCGCATCAAGGGTTGACAAGATTCCGCCTGATTCATATAGCTCATTGAAGGAAGGGCCTTCCAATGAAGAGTAATCTTCAGGCACAAAGTAGTTTCCTTTCTCTAGAACCACCACTTTCTGACCTGAGCTTGCAAGAACTGCAGCTGCAACTCCTCCCCCACAACCAGAACCAACGAGGACGACATCACATTTGATCTTGTAAGTGTTGTGCTCTGCATTTTCACTAACTTCAAGGCCTTTTTCTGCGAGGGACTGCAAAATAGTGGCATCACTTTCATGCATAGTCTCGATTATTCCCTTCTCAAGAGGCCTCTCCTTTCGTTTCAGCTTTTCCCTTGTGTCCACTTTGTATCCAATAGCTTCCCATGCTGGGTTATTCCCATTTTGATCTATCTGCAGCAATTGGAGAATGAAAAAAGCTTAGAGCAAAAACACCATGAAGGAACCGCAAAAGAGAGTGCCAAACTCTTAGGCCTTATTTGGTATGATGGAACAGTTTTTTATGAAATCAAAGTCGGAATAGAATTGGGTTTTAAAAATGTATTTGATATAGTGATGGAATCTTAATATAAATTTATTAAGTATTTTATTTAATATAGAAAAAGACCATTTTTGTTTTTAAAAAAACTCATCCCTTTGATTGTGATGGTGCTTGTATGATTTGCAAGGTGGTGCTGATGGTCGAAGAGAAAATTATTTCTTCCATGAACACGAACCAGAGAAATTGCAATCTAAAGCCATTACATGGGTGCCATATTCTTAGATTTTTTTAGGTTCATCAATTTTAGGATGAGTGTTATCATCAAGCCTACATAACTTCAATCTCTCTTCATTGATCATAGCCCTTTTGCATAACCCAAGGCATGTTAATTGTTGATGGCCTCTCTAATCCTCCGACCACGATAGCGGAGACGGTTTAGTGGGAATGCCTTGACTGCTCCACTTTACCCTTTGATTACCATTGTCAAAGTCATCCTTGACAAGGTTGGTGATAGGGTGGTTACGATTTGAGCGATTGAGGCTAATGCTTCTCTAAACAAAACTTCAAAAGGTTAAGAAACTTCAGCAACTCATGCGCAGGAAGGTAGATCTGTTGGGTTGGAACAAGATGAAGGTGAGGGCCAAAATTCCAAGATGGAATTATGTGGGAATTGAGCCAATTTCATGGTGGTTTTGATGGAATTTGATTTTGGCTTTTTGGTTGGAATTGAAATTCTAGAGAATATAGACACTATCATGCCAAACATGTTAAAATCTAGATTTCATGTCCAATTTCATTTTCGCATTTAGGATTATCACTATCCAAACGAGGCCTAGATGATGAAGCATGGAAATGGCTTCTTTCCACTTAGAGACCACCATCATGTCATTGTGAACCCTTGTTGGATTGGATTTAATTATTTGTGTGTATTGGTTTGAAAAAATAGGAATCAATATAAACTGTTAAAATTTGATTTGAATAACAGAAGTGGAGGCAAAAGCAACTGGATGAAAAGAAATCAGTGAGAGTCAACATGAGCTTGTGCTTATCCACCTAAAATGCTCGTTAAAATAATATTTTGTTGAATACCTTTTGCTTGATTAAACGTCCAAAAGACTTTTCATGAAAAACCACGCTCTAACCCAACACGTCACGTGAGTCAGTTCCTACAGGTCATTGTCGGCAATTTTTTTACGAAGGGCATGGGGAGTAATGTTTATGAACAGAACTATTGCAAGGTTGGGTTGAAGGTTCTGACTCTGGGAATGATGAGAAGAGTTACCGTTGAGAAAAAAATTTCAAGAAGAAGAAGAAGCATTACCCTTGAGAAAAAATTATAAAAGAAGACGACTTTGATGATCACAAAGGCAATCCGCAGAGGAACGAGACGCTTTTCCCTGGACCATTTCTGCAGAATCTGTTCTCTCTTGTCCAGTGATAATTCGGAGAACTTGTGAAGGAAGGGCCACTTCCGATCGAAGGCAATACTTCCGCAAAGCAACAAAGTTCCCAATCTAAATGACAAAATCCGCAGAAATGAGCTCACAACGAACTGAGCCTCCGGTAGAATCCTCTTGTGTAACAGCTCCGCCGCCTGCAATTCATTCAACGAAGCAAATTAGAAATCAGGGATGAATCCAGCGCACAGAAACCGATCTTATCTTTGTTCAGTGCACTAACGGAATCATTTCAAACAAGGGGGGGAAGTCAAAGATGGATTTGAGAGCGAGATTGACCTCATCAGGAAGAGGGGCTAGAGAACCGGAGGTTCCGTAGAAGGACTGCAGAGAAGCATCGCCATGGTGAGTGAAAGGAGGGAGAAATGCCTCACAGATAGCAGCCAGGACTTGCATCTGGCTTTGAGATAAGGCATGGCCACAACCACCTCTTTCCTTTCTCTCTCCGCTCAACAGAGGGTGACTACTCTCACTTCCCTTCATCTCTGTCTGTGTGTGTGTGACGAGCAAGACTGAGAGGTGAGGTTTTATAGGCGAGAGAGAGAGGTGAAACAATGGAGCAGAGAAAGAGAGTGGTTATGTGATTCTAGTGGTAAAGGTTGGCGTCAGTTTTAACGTTACTCTTGTATGGGAGCTGTACGGGATCTGAATTCTGCGTGTGAAGGATCTAATAATCATGGGAGACTGACAATAAACCACCATCTGTGTTTTTAAATTGCTAAAAATATCAATGAGCACTCGGTAGAGTTGGTAAGGGCTACTGTCGGCATTCTTCAGGGCGAGGGTAGTGACAGATACGATAATTAACACGACCTCAAAGAGGTCGTCCCATCGGTAACTCGCTATCACCGTAAAGTCTCTTCACGAGAGGTTTGGATTAGTCTGGGGCAGGCAGTGAACCTAAAATACCTTAAGATACTGGATAGTTTATACAAAAAAAAAAATCAAAAACGATTAACGTTTTAAACAAATTGACAAAAATGCCCTTTATATTTTTGACACATGGCTCAGCTTCAAATGTTGAAAGATGGGCTGCATGTGGTGGAACATTAATTGTAAATATGAGAAGATCAGCTATAAATTTTGGAAGTTTGTAAAAATATCAAATGCTCACTTGCAAGTGTTGAAAGTTCTGGGGTACAGTGAAAGATTTGTTCCAAACGTGTTTTGCATTAAACTTTTAGAATTTTTAAAAAAATTCCCGAATTTATAAGGGATTTGCAATTAATCTTTTTTCTATCTTTAATTAAACTTTCAATATTTGCAACTGATCTTTTTAGGATTTATAAAATTTTCACAATTCATGACATAGCTCATTTTGCAAGTGATTTGCCTACACTTGTAAATTAAGATCTCAGTTTGCAGTTCATCTTCTGCCATTTGTAATTAAGTTGTGTGCCAATCAAGTATGTGTATTCTTGTCTATTTAATTTTTCTTTAAAACTTTGATTTTTTTTTTACTTTAAATATTCATGGTCCTTTGAAAATGATTAACTTTCTTTTGTGGTCCTGTTGTGTCATTCTCCCTAAAATCATTAAACATGTCATTTTAAAAATCTTTTAGGATGATTTTTAAGATATCATTCACATGTTTTAAAGTTATCCATTCATAATATTTTTTTAATATTCGACGGACTGAATTGTAATCTTAAATATTTTTTTGGCCATGTAATTTTAGAGGATCTCGACCGCACAACTTTAATCATTCGCGTGATTTCTTAATTTTAAAATTATCAAGTGTGATTATTTTGTCTTGACTCTTACGTGTCTAAAAATGGGAGAATGATAGAAAAGTGGGGATTAATTAATTCGTTCCAACTGATAAACTTCATAAATTTACAGATGTGTCTCTCAATTTTATAATTTTATTGTGATGAATTTGTAACATATATTCTAAATTTTGACACAAAAAGAAATTTAATTTTTCTTTAACTATATTAAAATTTGAGAAACAAATTGTAAAATTGAAAGACGAAATTGTAAATTTTTAGAATTTGGTTCTTAGAATTTAATTTGAATCGATCAATCATTTTGAAACCTCTATATCATTCTTCCATCTAAAAGTAGTAGTAATTTACAAGCAAAAGTTGGGTCCAGTGGAAGGACCTAGTTGAGTATAATATGATGAATTAATATTTAAATTCTTAATAAAAAATATACTTATATTTAGTATCTGATTTTATCTTAAATAGGATTGCATTTAATAAAAGAATATATATGAGCAATAAAAAATAGTAATAATTGGTTTTATATGATAAAGGAATTAAATGTTTGAGGTTCACGCAACGTACATAAAACAAAAATGATATATTTCTGTCTTTTTTGCGAGATCAGTCATTTAACACGTTATTTAATTCTCCGTAGAGCAAGATAATTCTGGGAAAATGAAAATTTATGGTCAAGTAAGAAAATTTTTTTGTAACTGTCATTTTAAAAAAAATTAACAAATGAATTTTTTAAAAAAATGAATTAAAAATATTAAAATCACTATTGATAAATAATATTTTTTATTTTAAAAATATAGGAAACTAAGTTGAGAACCAATGTATGCAAGCTGAAAATGATGAATGAGAGGCAGAGGAATTTGAATTTAATAACTGTATTTAATAAAAAAATTGAATATTTGTATTATTTAAATCATCAAAATTTATATCAAAGACTCTAAATTCATACTTTAATTCAGATTAGTGAATGAATAAGTTTATTTAAATCGTTAATATGAATTTCAATGGTTTGAATTATATAGACACTTAGTATAGACATTGAATAAAAATCCCAAATAGAGAGTGCTAGTATTAAAAATTTGTTTTAATAAAAAATATTGCAATTAAAATTTTTAGGATTTTAAACCTAGTTTTTTAAGGTTTCCAATTTATATGTGCAAATAAAGGCATTTTTATCTCTCAAATTTAAATTTTTGAAATGTAAGGTGTATCCGTACTGGAATGGGATGTGTACCAATATTTTTTTGATATGCATATCTAAAATATTAAAATATTATTGTTTTTTTACTTTTCTATAAGCATCTAATGCTTTTAGGTTGTAAGTCTGTACTTCAAAAATGATATTTAAAGACTTTTTAATTAAAGATTGAAAAATTAATCATTTTATTCTTAGTATATTTTTATGATTTTTTAAAATAAAACATTAGATTCAATAAATGAGATAACTTTGAAGATGCTGAAAATTTTAAAGTAATAAATTTATCCCTAGATAAACCAAGAAGCTATCATTTACAATTGAAGATTGAAGAAGTGAAGAGATTGATATTATACTTATTAGCAGACACTAAACCAAAGACAATAAGATATGGACAGAGTAAGAAATATAATTAACGTTTATATTTTGTTTAATATTATTATTAAATGACCACAAAAGCATGTAAACATATTATGCTTGTTAACCAAACAATAAGCAGTATGCAATATGTTTTGTTTGAAATTATATTTTTAATGTGTTTTATGATTTTTTTTATTAATATATACACTAGTATTGTAAACATATTGTATTGGCTAAAAATTCTAAAATGCACAAGACTTTTTTTAACTTTAAAACAATTACATATTATTTTTCTCATCTTTAAATGTTTAAAGTTAATCTGTTAATTTTTAATTTTATTTTTCAAAGTTCCTTACTGTTAATTACTTTGTCATGTTATTAACAGAGTTTGCTATTAAGAAAAACTACATAAAAACTTACATTGCATTTTATATAAGCAAATAATAAATGTATAAAAATTATATTATTTTTTAAATATTTATTTTTGTATTACTTTTAAATATTTAATTTTATATTTATTTTATTCATATTTTTTATTATCAATGGTGCATAATTTAATTTCTTGCATTAAAGAATAAATTTATATTTATATAATTCTTATCAATAATAACTTTTAGAAATTTTTCTTTTTATTTGTTTAACATAAAAGGCTATTTTAACTAATAAAGACAAATAAAATTATAGTTTTTTCTTTAAATTGTGTTAACAGCGAAGAATTAAACAAAGTCCAAATAGGAGAGTATATTCATGTGTGTTAAAAGTAAAATATATATATATATATATATATATATAATTTTTTCTCTCCTTAATTTGTGTTAAAAAATAATAAAAATATTTTTTATATCATGTGCCATGCACATATTTCATTAACTTGACATGAAAAACTTTAAAATGATGAAAGTTATATACAACTATCTTAAAATTTATAAAAAAATTATATATTTTAGCCTATTATATTTTATATTTGTTAGAAATGAAAGCTTCAGCATGTTAAATACAGTCCACTACTCTAGAAGTTGAGGGATTATCTTCTCTTTACATTTAATGTAATTTAATTTCGTACTGTTCGGTCTTGATCATCTTGTCATTCAGCGGAAAAAGACTTCCTTGTCCTATCCGGGAAGCAATCCCCTGCAAGAAGATAAGTGGGATACGTTTTTGGGTAACTAGTTTATGTGTTTAAAAGGATAAGCTTAACTACTTAAGGCATGTAAGATTGGACTTGCGATGGAGAGAGCGGTTCCTCCCTTTCTTTTTTCTTCTTTGACCTTCCTTTTTCAATCCCCACCATTGATTTTATTTTATTAAATACATTTATTTTAATTACAAATTTGATGAATGGTGGGGATCAAGAAAAGGATAAAATATGAGGAAAAAGAAAGAAAGGAACCCTAACACGATTTTCTCACATGTGCAAAGGTATTGCTGTATGGACATATTTGCCTTCGTAAATATGAAGAGACAAGTCCCCTTACATGTGATCCAAATTGTTGGGACTTAGAAGCGTGATACAGAACAGCTCCAACAAACCTGTTTTTCTTTTTTGGGGAAAAAAAAGTCATAAATAAAGGATGCACAGTTTGGTGGCGCAAATATGGGCGAGCTTAATCAAATAATAAAGTTACAGCTTGCTTTCGCTATACACATGAACACTGCAAAAATCTCTCGTGTCGTAGTATGTGTAACATTTCATTGAACCCTACAAAATTGACTCTGTGGTGGTAGAATAGGATTGGTGAAGTAAGGTGATTAGAGCAGGGGATATGCCAAGGTCCAAGTGGATTCCATGAATATCGGTGCAATTAATGAATGAGAACGGACGTACACAGAAATGAAGCAAAGGTTGAAACTTGAAAGAGATGGTCCATATGATGCCTCAACTACCACCAAATATGAATGAATTGCGTGTTCAGAATGTAATGAATCTAAACTTTGCCAGCCAAGCAGCCTCCTGCTGCACACGTACTGGTGGTCGGTCTCTTTCTGCTAAAACTCAAAACGTGAACCTTTTTTGCCCAAGAAACGACAGGGCGTTTCGTTAACTAGAGCAACTTGTGTGCATTGCTTCCAAACGATGCTACTTTGGAGCGAAACTATGAAAGGCGCCACCACCGCCGAACGTGATTCCCATGTGCGATGCTCTCATAGCCAAAAGTTTCATTTTGTTCTTTTCTCCCAAGTGGCTCCCTTTCCCTTTCTTATGGGATTCCATGTGATTTCCTTTTATTGTTGTTTTTTTGTTTAAATACTAATAAGTCAGTTGACAGATTAATCATTTGATCTTTATGTATTGGATTTGATCATAATTCAATCTTTAGACTTTAATTTGTTATAATCAAATTCTTATAATTTTAATTTAATTATATTCAATTCTTAAACTTTAACTTGATGTAATTTAATTTTTTATAATTTTAACTATTTAAAATATTGATCTTTATATTTAAAAAATAAAATTATTTCTTGATACTTAGAGACGTTGAAATTTGAAAATGCTGAAAGACAAGGATTTACTTAAAAATAAACTTTTATCACTGACTTGTATTACAATACACTCAAACGCTCGTAACATTTTTCATAATTCTTACACCCTTGCAGACGCTGCAGTTACACACACTCACAATTGCTTTGATCTTCTCTCTCCTTGCGTCACTTCATTCTTTCTTGCTTTCGTCTCCCTGCACACACCCCTCTAAGTAATGCAGATGCATATTTATGAATTAGAGGTCAGTCATGTCGGTAAAATCAGTTATCCAGCAGCATCTGGACATTTCACTTCTTCACCGTCATTGCATTTCCTCAGCAACGTCGGCGAGGGAGAGAAGGATCTGGAGAGAGAGAGGGAGAGAGAGGGAAGCGTTGATATCTAACAAAGAACTAATGTTTTGAAATTTAAATTATACAAAAAATGTTTAGAAACTAAATTACAATCAAAATTTTAAAAAATGAATTATTAATAAACTACATAATAATCAGATTATTTAGCGGTCCTCATTGGGGATTTGGATATTTGAAAGGCATTTTTGTGTCATTCTCCAATTAAAAATACAAAAGAAGAAGAATGGATGGTCAAAATTCCTTGTCAGTTGCGGGTCATGCCGCCATACAATGGCCCGCTGCACACAACGCATGTTTTTTTAATATAGAGCTGTATAAAAGTCAAGGCACGTACAATCGAATCAGTTATTAAACCGATCATGATATTAGGTTATAGATTAGTGATTCAATTAGGGTTGAATTGAGAGTTGAACCGGTAACAAATCGATCATGATTAAAATAATATAATTTAAATAAAAAATATTAATTATAAAAACATTCAATCAAATCCAACCAGTCAAAAATCTAACAGTAATAAAATACAATACTTTAAATATCTATTATTACAATTACAACTCTTCAATCTCAAAAGTCTAGAGAAGAGATGGAGATAGAGCTGGAGAAGAGATGGAGATTGAACTGGAAAAGAGACGGAGAGTCAGAGACTAAGTTGGAGAAGAAATGGAGATAGTAAAGACAAAGATAGAGCTAGAGAAGAGACGGAGATAGAGCTGGAGTCTGGAGAAGAGACGCTGATTAGGTTAGGGCAAGAGATGAGAGACACAGATGAAAGGCCAAATTAAATGCTGTCTGAAAATCTAGATTGGACTTAGCGTGCTCTACCTCTAATTTTTTATTTTTTGACTTTAGTTTTACTTTTTTTTGTTATCTTATTTCTGAACTTAGCACTCTGAAAATCAAAAATGAAAAAAAAATCCCCAAAAAAAAATAACCTGGTTAACCTAGTCAACCCACCGAGTTAACCGGGTTACACCAGGTTAAACTCGAGTTAATCGGGTTACACCTGTTCATTCCCTCATCGGTTTAGGAGTAAACCCAAACCAGACAAGGGATCGGGTCATCGATTTCTTGGTTGACCCGGCCAGTCCAGTTCGGGTTTCAATACCATGACAAAGGTCTTTCAATTCAATCTGATTTAGTTTAACTGAAGATAAACTCAATTCTATTCAATTTGAATAAAAATTAGTTTTTCAAAATCAAAAAGATCAAAATTTTTTTGGGATTGGACTAAATAAGATATCAAACATTTGAACCACTTGGTCCATTTCTATCCTATAAATTTATTTAATAGAATTATAATTAATTTATTAATTATTATAATAATACGTTAATTTATAATAATTAGTGTTTTCTTGTGTTTTATACTTGTGAAGTTATAAATATTGAGCAAAATTTCAACATTGACTAACCTTAGGCTTTTTCTTTTATTGATGAAATTTGTTTTTAACTTAGTTTAATAGATTTTAGATATGTTAAAAGTTGTTTAATGTTGTTAAATGTTATTTAATTTAAGTCATTTTTGATATAACTGAAATAATTTTTGTTGTTGGACATTGTTGCGAATTTATAATTGTTGTTATTGTGATAAATTTTATATGACTATAAATAATTTTATTATGTTAATTATACTTATTATGTTGAAATAAATTGTTACTTCTCACAGATGAAAAGGAGAAAAAACAAAGTGAGATACTAGATAAAATCAGGACCAATCTTCTAATCCTACTAAATCAATCCAATCCTATTCTACTTCAAGTTATACTAAACTAAGTCTTAACTAGATTACAAATTATTTAACTCAATTCTTTTTTGAAAAGAATCAGATTTTAAATCAAGCCAAACTCTTGTAAGGTCAATCTTTTGTGCAGCCTTATTTTTAAATAACCAGAAGGTAAAAAAAAAAAAAAATCACAGGCCTCAGAAACAAATCTTCTTCGCTCTATTCGCTTCGGCGTTTAATTGTTAAATTATAGCTACTTATTTTATAGTCATCTTATATCCGCTTTCACTTTACTGCGCCAAACCAATCATAAAATATATTATATTAGAGCAGTCAACTAGTCAGAATTTTCTTGTATTTGATATATATATATATATATATATATCGTGTGTTAACTTTTAGATTAATTGATGGAGCATATAACAACAATGAATTAATGTCAACTTTTACAAAACGGTATCTCTGATAAGAACTAGTAATCCACCACTGGATTCTAACAAAAAATGCTCCATTTTAAATGAAACTAATACCAACTGGGAGTTCTTTTCCACATAAATGTATGAATTATTCCCGTATTCCGACCACAGTCTTCGTGTTATTCATGAGAGGAAGGAACTCATGAAAGGTCGAGGCACTTCATTGATCCCATGTCCGATTGCATGCCCAAAAAGCCAAATCAGTGTCTTGTGCAATTATTGCCAGTTGATACATAGCCCAACACCAACAATATCATGATGAAGGCGCGGCACCAATATCAGTCATGAGAAATTTGAGTTGCCCTCGCAAGAACAAAACCTGCAAGAATTCATCAATCACTAGTTAAGGATCAGTTCATTCTCATTTTACTCTACGATCAGTTAAAGCAGCAATTTAAAAAATACAAAAATAAAGAAAGAAAGAAACAAGGGAAAAACACAAGTCTATGTTCAATCATAATGGCCTCAAGTAAGCAAGTATAACCACAGACATGAAAATAACCTTTTAAAAAAAAAACAAAACAAAAAAACAAAAAGGTAACATAGGTTATTACCTCTTCCTGAAGCAAGGGAGGAAGGTTTTCAGTTGTTACAATGTCTGTAACTTCCAGCCGCAGCTTTTCTTCTTTAATGCCTGACCATGTATGTAAGGGCAAGGCCAACAAAAGCACTGTTAACACATCTGCAGTGGATGGGTGCAATCCAATGCAGCGTCCTTCATTGGAAATACACAAACTATATGGCCCGCTTTGACACAGAGGGACCAACACATCAACTCCTTGTTCTCCGTCGCCACTTTTGACAGTTCCAGAAACCAATGCCACTGGATTTTCAGTATCGGTATGTAACTGTTGCACATTTATTTGAGTGCAGCATTTTCCACCTGACGAACCTAGCCTATCACAACCGTTCAAAAGATCCACCCCTTGGCAACAAAGACTTGCAGCGAGTGCAGGTAACATGTCTTCGTCTTTATCACCAAGGTTTGCATAAGGACAGCAACATGAAATTTCAGAATTCAACCATCTAGTTATATATTTGAAGAGTGCAGTTGCTCGAATTTCTTCCAATATGTCTGCCTGAAATTCCAAAGCTATCAAGAATTACAGTTCTGTATGTTAAATTTTTTCTTCAATATATAAAGGTTCTGGCACGAAAATTAAAAATTTTAAATTTCTTCAGTAGTGAACAAAATCCTTTATTCGTAAAGAAATGAACTTTAGGCCAAAAACCTTGATGGCAAGCCTTCCACTCTCTTCTTCACTTAAGGTGAGATTTCCATCCTCTCGTCTACGAACTTCAGCAATCCATGTGATAAAGCCTCTCAATTCAATAGGAGGAGACTTGAATATAACAGACAGCAGCTTCTGAATGTCATCCAAATCCTCTGACTTCACAAGGAGCGGGACTTCTTCAGCTAAGTATTTAGCAACACTGTTCCAACCTTCATGTCTACAACTCTGCAGATAGCATAAGTAGAATTATAAAGATTGAAGAACTAGTAGAAGTAGAATTATAAAAAAGTAAAATCATTAAAGAATCCCTTAAGAAATAAAAAAGAGTCGATAAACAAAGATAAATGACATTTAGCATACTCCACGCAATTAACATCATGCAGAAAGCTGAGACTTCTTATAGTGCATTATAATTACAAAAGTAAGAACTACTCGGAGTTGAATTGACTTTTCTATAGTGAGTCAAATCAAATTTCCTAAACAGTTCACATAAATTCATCACTTTAGAAACTCAGCACGTGTTCAGATGGGTAGACGAAGGATAAATTAATGTCACAGTACCACTGTATAAAGTATTGATGTTGCTCTGTTAGATCTCGAAATAACCATGTACCTGAAAATTACACATTTCCAAATGTAAATGGAGGAAAACAACAAAATCATAACATTTTCATCACAAAAGCTAGTACACCTTGGTCGTGCTGACATTACCTAATAATACAACTTTCAAATAGCGATTTGAGATAAGCTAAATGTCAGTTCAGAACGCCTAATCATACAGAAATCCAAAACAACTTTGGTGGACAGAATGCAGAGATTTATAGACGTTAAAAAGATTTAAAACATGCTAAGTGAGAAATACATATCATAGATGACTTAAAACATTTGATCTATGTAACTTCTAGCCCTCTCCCTTGCAAATTAACACTACTGCCTGAAAACAATCAAACAGAAAACACTCTACAAAGTTTTCCTTATTTTAACTTCTTTCTCATTGTTAAGAAGACTTTGTCCTTCACCAAGAAGAATACGAACATACGTCGTACACATATGAAACAGGGATGAGATAAATGTCAAAGCGGTCAGACATCAAATATTCATAATTTACACCAAGTTAACTTCAATATTAACACGGGGTGCAATCTCTACTTCCAAAGCAGAGAAACGACCAACTTTGTGGAAATTAAAAAAAAAAAAAAAAATATATATATAAGGGTCTTGACAGAAGCATGCAAGGAGCACTATCACAATAGATCTTACCCCCTATGTTGTCCAGTTGCTTTATCAACAGTATTCATGGCCTCCCAGAGAAGGGTAAGTGGGACCCAGTGAGGAGGATACTTGAAACGTGCAACATCCAGAATGAGGACCATATCTCTTTCCACGTGGTAGCCTCCTAGTGGTGAAAAATGACCAGTTCCAGTCTGTTGCAAAATGATAAGGCATTTCGCATAATCTCTATAATAATTGACGTTAAGATATATTTAGCATGTCATTGACAATAATACCTGTTTAAACACTCCTCTGTGGTATGATACGATCACATGACAATCCTCTGAAGTACTACATGAAATTACATTCTTGCGAAAATCATCTATTGTGGTTTCATTTGCTCGAAAAGCTTCAACTTTAGCTCCATTGCATTGAGCCAAGCACGCAACTTTTCCAAATGTAATACCTTCCTCTTTAATCTTAACCAAAGGCTCACAACAATCCAACATGGAATCGTCAAACCACCTCCAAGGGCCTATTAAAAACCAATATAAATATATAATGGTACTTAATTGAGACATAATTAGTATGGGGCTATTAGAACAGAAGTGCCGGCTAGTTTAGTGACTTTAGTCTAACAAAGTCTCTGCGCAGCCAGCATGGCCAGAAGAACATCAGATAAAAGCCCGTCCTAGAAGGATCTATGAGAGGTTCAAGAAACAAGGAAATGTGACCCCCGTTCAAGTATCCCAATGATTTAATGAAGCTTCACGCTAATAAAACTGAGAATTGAAATTAGAAATTATGAGAGGAAAACCAAGGTTGCTAACTTTTTTTTTTTTTTTGAAATTACAAGACAAGCCTAGACTTGGAAATTCCTAACACTAGAGGAAAAGCAAACAAAACAGATTACACATTTCTATCCAAATGATAGAAACCAATACAACCTGGTGAGGGTGTATTCAAAAGGACAAAGTAATCGGTCACATTATGTGCCACGGTTGCTAACTTTTACTGGCCAGAAGGATTGCTAACTGACAACGGGCTAACGTGTATAGAAATTAATATATCTTAGTACTTTATGTCACATATCCTTGCAACTTTAATACTTGCCATCTGACACAACGAAAATTAATACATACCATAATGCAACGCAATGCAACTTAGCAGCAATCTCAACCCTGACATAATTCCTTTATAACAAGCATAAGAGGGTACAACTGTACAATTGCCGCTTTACCAAGGAATTAATGAAATAAAGAGAATTCGGTTCCCTTTTTGCCATTCGAGTCATTTTAGTAAGATGAAAGTGACGATTCTCTAGAGTATAGAAACTCTTTATAAGATATTACCTAGAGGGAAAGGAAAGCATTGAGAAAACACACCTTTCCATTTTCTACCAGGGTCAATAGCAAGTGCATTAAGGACGACTGCAAGAGTGGCCAGTCCACAGTACGCAGGTTCAGATTGCGTTTGATGGTATGAAATTAATTTGAAGAAGCCTTCCATGGTTCCTTGTCCAAAAGCTTCAGCAAAAATTTTCTGTATAACCTCACGATTATTCATCATATAAAATCATTTGAAGAATTCATCTAAGGTGTCAAAATAGGGATTTGATTTGATTTTTTTTTTTTTTGGGATGAAGTAACGATATACCTTTCCTTCGGGAGAAGCAAACTCGATTGCGGGAGGAGAAGGGAGGACTCTGCGATAGAGACCTGGAGTTGCCATCTTCAGTCTTGAGACGACTAATACTGACGAGCCTTGCTTCGATTTCAAGCCCTTTTGAATTTATTCGAATTTCCACGTGGAGCGCGGGCCCCGTTTTACGTGCACATGGAGCCAGTGTTTAATATTGTTATTTGTTAATGGCGGATCAAGTTCTTGTTTTTGACTTCTGAAAGTCTGAAACACCGTCAGCATTAATGTTAAGGAAAATGATAGTTGGAATGGGGACTGAGAGAATAAATTGTTAATATTTAAATTATTTGAAAAATATTTTTATGAAATATTCTAAAATATTAATAACCTTTTGAAAATTATAACCCTTCCTTTTAACATTGTAAAATTTAAAATATTTCCATTAAAAATAATTTTAGAAGAATGAGTGATAATTTTGGCAAAGGCATTTTAATTTACAACTCTTTTGGTTCTATTTTTTATTATAACATTGTTTTGAAATGCACACCTTGGTCTTGTCTCGTCATCATATCAAATTCTTGTTTTTTTTTTACTTCTCTTTGGATAAATTAAATCATTCATTAACCCGCAAAGTATTTCTAAATGCAGACAGGAAATAGTATTAGAGAAAAACCATACGGAAATTGAAGAAACTTTGTTTCGCTTATCACTTGCTTGTAGAAGAAACGTGAAAGGTCAGTAATGGATAGATTTGCAAAATATGATTCACATTTCAAGAGAAATCCATATCCCCACATCACCCTGAGGGATCTAACATGCACGCCACCAATGTACTAGTGTATTACCAACTATAAAACCACCTTCAATTGTAGCTGCGCTATTCAAAATGTGTTTGGTTTCACAGAGTTTTAATAGTACCCAACATGAAACCAAAAACGCATTTAATAGATGAGTCACTCAAAATACAAAGTATATGTGAAAATTTTGTACAATTTTTTTACCAATAGAATTTCTTTTTCTCAAATAGACAGTAGTCACGTCAAGTGACTTTATAATATGGGACAAGTTAGTAGGGTCAGGAAGGGAGCAAGCAGTTTTCTAGATTCTTGAATCTCATTTGCGCAGAACGTCTTCAGCGATAAATTCAGCAGGTTGTACAACACGATTAACCTAAATCTCGAAACTGACCCCTTGGTACTCTTCACGAAAGCGGTTCCAGATGCCTGTTATTTTGGATTCATAACTGGAAACAAGAACGCGTTTCGGCAAGGTGTGCCTGAATTATTGAATTCAATGCCTGCTGACACGAGATCCCAGCTTAGAGATTTTGGCTCGTTGAAGATCACGAGAAAAGGAGATGCTACGAGAGAGGTGCACCGAGATCTTCATCCACCCTGTTCTCTTGACATTTCTTTAGCATGTGAAGTTGACGTCTTAAGTGCAAAACCTGATATGGATATATTTATGATAAGAAATGAGTAGGAACGGGATAGGGTAGAATTAGCAACAGAAGCCAATATTTTGCAAAGCGACAACAACGGATTCAGTTAATGACCAGTTCATTCATTATAGGCAAGTACCCCCAGATTGTATAGACAATAGTCCAGGTTTACTTCATAGGACACTTTGAATGGGGACCAGCGCAGGAAAAATAGTCGAGGCATCTGTTGAACTCAAAATTGTCCTTGCTTAAGCACTTCCTAGGACTAACGTTCACAGTTCCCTATTGGTGAAATATATTGACATCGGTGAATCGGTGAATAGCAAAGACTGCGTAACATGAAGGAGATATTATTACTCAAAGCATGCCTGAGCATCAAAATTAAGAAATGATGATTCAAAAATATTACTCAGGCAATAATGAAAAATTACATTTACTAAAGCAAAACTGCAAAAGTTACCCCTTTTTGGCTGACAAAAGTTACCTTTTTTAACAAAAGAAAATAAGAGCTTCTTACCTCTTCTTGCAGCAACGTAGGAAGGTTATCAATTGAAACAAGTTCATCTATTTCCTTCAAAACTTGCCCATCTTTGATACCAGCCCATGTTGTAGATGGTAACGAGAGAAGCAGTGCTGTTAGCACGTCACTGCTAGTTGGGTGCATCTCAATGTACTTACTCAGGCCAGAGCAATCACAACATGGTCCTTGAGAAGGAAACAAAACATCAACCCCTTGTTCACTGTTACCGTTTACTACAGTCCCACTAACCATTGTGATTGGCTTGTCACCCTCTGCTTTCAAGCATTCCATACATGTTTCTCTACAGCAATACACTGCCGATGAGCTAAGCTTCCCACCTAGAATTTCTGCTCCTTGGCAACAAACATTTGCTGCAATGTTAGGTAAGGTGTCTCCATGACCTGAAAGTGATGGCAGCTTGCAGCAAGAATTTGATAGAAAAGAAGTGACATGTTTAAAAAGCTGTGTCTCCTGCACCTGTTTCAATACTTCTGCCTGGAGAACAAAAAGTACTCGTTAAAACTCTAAGCATAAAATAGGATTATGACAATTTGATAAAAGTATAACCATAACCTTAACAGAAACCCTAGCTTTCTCCTCTGCACTCAAACTTGGACCACCATCCTCTCGCCTCCTGACTTCTGCAACCCACTTAATAAAATCCCCAAAATTAGATGGAAGCGAATTGATTACAACTGAGAGAACCTTGTGAACGTTTTTCACATCCTCTGATTTTAGTAGCAGGGGAACATCATCCATCAGGAATTTTGCGATACTAATCCAACTCTCATGTTTGCAGCTCTACAAGTTCAAGAATAACATATATCATTAGCAGAAGTGCAGAATATATACAATGGTTAGCATCAGCAATCAAATTAACTAAGCATGACAAACACGAACAAAATATGCACGCAAACATATATGCATATATAAGAAACTGATACAGGATGGTAAAAGGATTATGATTTAAGGGACAAACATTAACAGTGAAAGAATCTCCATTCGTACATTTATGCATGCACTATACTTCACTCTTCTTGCTTGAAATCAGATTGGAAAAAGAATAAGCATTCATAAATCAATGTAGGTAGAAACTATTCAACAATTTGATGCCTGCAATAAAACTCTTGACTGTTTACTTTGAGTGTGAGTGACTTTATAACAGGATGCAACATACCAGAGTATAGAGCATACCAGGGTCCCTGTGAGGCCTTGATATAAGCATGAACCTGAGGACAGAAACCAATAGTAGTAAATATAATCCCCCATCAATCGTGTTACTTCTTCATTTACCAACGGAAAGAGGTAGACTTTATGATAGAGGAAAATGACATGAAGAAATGAGCGAAATGTATGCAAATAAAATGCATTCCTTTTTTTTTTGGGGGGGGGTGGTGGGGGCGAGGGAAGGTATGAAACAGAAAACAATGAATTTGCTCAGGTCAACAAAAACCAAGGTTGAATTTTCTATATTACCCACAACAAGTTGCTTTTTAGACGATACATGTCTCATATTTCAGAAAGTCTCCCTTACCTTGGTTTTATAATGCATAATTTGCATGCTACCTCCTTTTTCATAAAGATAAATTACTATGATTTAATTTCAACAGGTCTTCCAGTTTTGAGATAGCCAAAAATTATTAAAGAATAGAAGAAGCATCATACAATTACCAGATCCAATTGCAAAAAACATCTTCTATTACATGGAAATCATTCTTTTTCCTACTGATAAGTGATAACACCCGTCCTTGAACAAATAGTGATGTAAATGCAGATCTCAATAATTTTTACCATGTTAAAGTAACCAGAAAATTTTATAAAAATTAGATACAAGAAAACTTACCCCCTAGGTTGTCCAATGTCTTCAACAACATAGTTCATGCCTTCCCAGAGAAGGGCAAGTGGGACCCAATGAGGAGGATACTTGAAACGTGCAACATCCAGAATAAGTGCCATATCCTTTCCAGCATGATAGCCACCAATAGGAGAAAAATGACCAGTTCCGGTCTGCCATGAAAGTTTAATTACTATTCCCACTACCATTCCATAATAGAAGAAATCAATATTGATTACCAAGGATATTGGGAGAATAGTATATGATAAGTTCATCTTGTACAGCTCGAATAGAAATAACCTATCACTGGTTCTAACAGATATGGGCAATAGAAAATTTTCAACTTCTGAACCTTGTATAAACAATGGATCCAAAACCATCAATGGGAACATCATTGAGTAGGAGATGGTGAATATCAATGAACAAAGCAACAAAATTTTGTCATTTTCTATTGTGTCAAAGTAGTAAAATACATACTTGATGGAGAGCAGCTCTGTGGTAAGAAGAGATTATATGACAATCATCAGAAGTCGAACACCTCTTGACATATTTACGGAAGTCATCAATGTTGCTTTGATTTGCACGAAAGGCTTCAACTTTTGCTCCTGCACAATGAGCCAAGCATACAAGCCTCCCAAATGAGATACCTCTGGCTTTGACCCTCTCCAGAGGTTCACAACAGTCCAACATAGATTCATCAAACCATCTCCGAGGACCTGTAGACAAATTTGCCAAGAGCAACACAGTTTACAACATAAAACAAAACTCAGATTGATCTTATTCAATTCAATAACTGAAAAGGAACATGCTGCAGTCAATGAGAATATGAAATTCAAAAGACATATTAGTTGACAAGGAATTTTTCTGCAGATGATAAGGTATGGTAAAAAATTGAAAAAAGAAAATAGCAGCCACTGGCCCCACACTATAACAAGACTGCAAAATGTCAGGATCCAACCATGGAAAATAAAGAAAAAGTAACCTGCAAACGAAGTACATCAGATCGATTGAGAAATTCCTCTTGAAATGAACAAATAGCATAATCTATTTCTAACAATATTTTTCCAGGAAATTGAAAGAATCTTGAGCATTATAAAAAATAAGATCAATTTAAATAAATAAAAAGCTTGGCAAATCTTGATGAGACACGACAGCAAAATCGCATTAAGTATTACTTCCTCGATCCCTTAGAATGAAGGAAGCTATCGTCTATGGAGTCAAGATGCATCGTGAAGTATGACAGCTCATGAAACAATACGCGTACCTTTCCATGTTCTTCCAGGATCAATAGCAAGAGCATTCAAGACCATGGATAAGCTTGCCAATCCACAGTATGCAGGCTCTGATTGTGTTTGAAAATAAGAAATTAATCTAAAAAAGCCTTCCATTGTTCCATTTTGAATGGCTTCAACAAAAAGTTGCTGAAAGTCAACAAAATTGGGTTAATAGCTCGTGAATTAAAAAAGATGACAACGTGCACGGGAAAAACCAATCATAAGAATTTCTGATTAAAGAAACATTCAATTACTACTACGTAATTTATTCCGAAGCCTGAAGCCGCATCATCTTCAACTAGAAATATACATATATCTATATACATACATAATTTGCAAAAAGCCCGACAATCATCCCAGAAAGCTCCCCGACTTAAACACACACACACTGACAGAGAAATGCGAGTGAGGGCAAAAAAAGTGTGACAGACCTTTCCTTCGGATGAAGCGAATTCTACTGCAGGCGGAGAAGGAAGTAACCGCCTGTACAGCCCAGCCATCGCCATTTTCTTCGATCAATTGACTGTAACTTTACAGTTTACACCGACCTGAGTCAAATTGCGTGGTAAAAGAGATATAACGACTCTGAATCAATTGTGGCCAAAAAAGAAAATCAAACGACTCTGAATCAATAAACAAGCGTTAGGGTTTCAGGCTTGTCGAGTGCCTCCGCGGGAAGTTGGGAATGCTGAATGCCCTGCCCCGCGTAATTTTACAGTTTCAAAAAGCACGGGAACCTACATATAAGAGTCAAACCTCTGGTCCTAGGTGCAAAATAGAGAGAGGGAGAAAAAATATTTTATTTTATTTATAAATTCCGTGATTAAATTTTTATAATAATTTTTTTATTATTTATTGAATGTTAAAAAAAATATTATTAACATATATATATTTAATAAAAATAAATTTGATAACTTATTAAACTTTAAAATAAAGTTAATGAATTTTAAAATTTTTTTTAATATTAATAAAATATATTAAAAATAATTTATAAATAAGATGAGAGGTGTATTATTTTTTTATATTTATTTCTCTTTTTATACAGTCTTATAATGAAGTATTTTATTTTAAATTAAATCTAAAGTTATTTATATATTATAAGTACTTTTAAAAAAATATAATAATAATAATACTTTAAAATACTAAAAATATCTTAATTTCTTTACATATAATTTATTAAAAAATAGGTAATTATTAACATATAGGCAATAATACTTTAAAATAACTAAAAATATCTGAATGAGTAATTAACAATTATTAACATTTACTTTGGTGACAACCATATAGGCAAAATGGCATCCAATAAAAAAACATGATGTCGGTAAAAACGTTGAGTTTAAAAAATGACAATTAAAGATCAAGAGCCTTTAAGGACTAAAATTAAAAGCAAAGGCTTATATATTTAACCTTTATGCTTTATTGTGCTTATTTTACACTAACTCAAGACATGCAATATTGATTATTTATTCCACGTTAAATCCTTGTTATGAATACTATTAGCACATTAAAAGCCACTTATTTTGATTTTATTGGATAAAAAAGTATATTAAATATAAGATAAATGAATAAATTATTTTTTAAACTTTAGATCTAATAATACCATAAATTTTAAACTCAGTTTATTGTACAATTCATTCTCTCAATTTTTAAAAATAATGCAACTCAACCCTTGTAGTTAAAGAAGTTAACTTTAATTATTAATTGATCAGAAAATGATATAAACAATCTCAAAAATTATATAAAAAGATATAAATAATGCAAAAATTATAGAAAAGAATTCAAAAATTACATAAAATAGCCCAAAATTATAATGAGTACTTTTTCACATTTTTGAGGTATTTTTATCATTTTTTAATTAACTAATGCTCAAATTAACTTTTGTTAATAATAAAAATTAGATTACATTATTTTTAAAGCTTGAGAAAATAATTTACACAATAAATAAGTTCAGAGTTTATGATATTATTGAACTTAAAGTTCATAGGATAATTTAATTAAATACCCTTAAATATATAAGCTAAGTATATAAATGTTGTCCAAAATCAAATACTCAACTAATTACACGGTTACATTTTAATAATTGGACAATTCAGTTACAAAAATCAGGCCTGGCTATAAATAATAGAAGCTCAATGATAAATGATAAATTATATGAAATCCCATGCTAAAAAAACTTACATCCTGTTTGGTATGGTGGAATTAAGAGCCATGGAGATGAAATTGAAAATAGAAATTAAATTTTAGCATGCCCGGTATGTCAAATATAAATTCCACCAAAAATACTTGAATTGATTTCCACCTCTTAATCCATGAAATTCTGAACAACTCCATTGAAGTGAGATCTGTGGCATTTTTGACCTTCTTCCGCGTTAGCTGCCACCCACTCTTCTCATCCATTGTCAGTGAACTACTCAGCGCCAGTGACTTCTAGCAGCCAACGCGGGCGACTGTCATGCTTTCAGTTGCAAGATCTTCTTGAAATTGCAACCAAACCTGTCTTGAACATCTTCCATTTGCAACCATATTTGAGTTTGTCAATTGAAATTGCAGGATCTTCTTGTTGATTCCATGGTTACAAGTTTTTGGTGCTCCCTTCGATTTACGTTCGAGCTTCTTCTTGGTTTCCTGGTTACAGATTCTGTGGTGGTCTTCAATCTGGGTTGGAATTATTATTATTATTATTTTTTGTTTGGGGGACGAAGGCATTCCAATCTTTTCGTATTTTAAATATTTATATCAAATAAAAATAATATTTTAATTTCATAAATATACCAAATATATTTTTAAAATTTATATCTATATCCATTTTTATTTCCATCAAAAATTTCCAACATATCAAAGGACATTATGGTTTTTGATTATTATTCTTCATATAGGTGATTATTAATTAACATCATGATTTTAACACAGAGAATTATAGGTCCTAATAGATTAAAATAATAACCGTTAGATTCTAACAAAAATTGTTTATAAAATACGTTATAAATATTAATTCAAATATTTACAAACCAGAATTTCAGTCGTAAATTATAGATAAAACTTGACTTATCTGCGATTAAAATTTTCGAATTTGTATTTAAATTGGCATTTTTAACTCATTTTTTCAAAAAAAAATTATCAAAAATTTAATACTCCCTCTATTCAAAAATATAAAATATTTTTAACTGAATTTTACTTACTTTTAAACACCAATAAAGTAGTTACCTACTTTTAAACTAATCATATCTTTTTATATTTACTTCTATTAAACACCATACAATAAATATAAAGTTATTATCAATAAAAGCTGTAACATCCCAATTTAAATTTTAATAGTTAATTTGGGTTAATAGAAATTTTAAAAAATATTTAGAGGTAAATAAATTAGTAAGAAATGATCATTAAATCTAACTTAGGATATAATTCTAAATTAAATTTTTTAAAAAATAATTAAAAAATTATTATTAATTAATTAATTAAAAATATTATTGAATTATTATTATAAAAAAAAGGTATGCAAAAAAAAAGAAGAGAAGAAGAAAAAGAGAATTACTTTCGGCCGCCGCATTAATAGTAATATAAAATAATAAAAAAAAGGGAGAGAGAGAAAAGAAGAAATAATAATAAAAAAAAGACGTGGAACCCACTGAATTTTTATAAAAACTCACCCGTTTCCTTTCATTTCTTCAATTCTTTTCCTACATGTGAGTTGAGGCGGTGAGAAGCTAGTCGTCAGTGCGAAATATCTAAATTTTTAAGGTAAGAGTTTTTAATAGGATATTTAGGGTGTAATTTTAAGCTTTTCAAGACTACGTAAGTGTTCTAAAAAATTTTTTTAGTCATCCTTTTTCTTTGATTTCTGAGTTTGTAGTGGTAGAAAATTTAAGATCTGGAAGAGGGATGAATTTATGTTAAATAAATATGATTTTTGAGGTTGTCAGTAGTATAATAAATGTTCTAGAGTATAAATTTATTGATGATCTTTGAATTTGTGGCTTATGGATCAAATTTTAAACTAGATCTGAAAATATATGTTGATTTATTGAGGTTTAGATGATTATTTGGGATGAGAAATGAATTATTATGGTTATAGGATTATGATTCTAAGCTAGAGACTCAATTTTTAATTTTTGGGTATTTTAGGTACGAATTTATGAAATAAAAAGAAAATTTTGATAATAGAAATTAGTTTAGAAGTTAATTTTTAGATTATTAATGTTTATTGATAATTAAAAGAGGAGTTAAAAATTTTATTTAATAGTATTAACTATAGATTTGTATTAAGATTGAGATTAGGAATTATGTTATATTTTTAATTCTATTATTAGAATTATTTTATTAGTTTCAAAAATTGAAACTAATATTTATAAATAATATGTTATTTGTAGATTGTATTACTGGTGAAGATTGTGGTAAAAGAAAAATTTTAAGGAATAATTTATTGAAAAAGCCACAAGGTAACCATGCTTTTAATTTATAATTAGTGTTACTTCATGTTAATTGGGTGATTATTGAGAAAATTATGAATTTTGTAATATTGTATAATTGTGCAATATTATTATGAATTTGTTTAATTATTGTGGGAGGTGTTGGGAGACTTGCTATTATTGTTGTATTTATGTGCCACGTGGTACGCCCCTATTGGAGCTCAATAGGTGGCTTGTAAGGGCTCGGGTTAATCTACCTTTGGCCGGGTAATTTAGCACCGAGTGAGGACTATAGCTCGAGGTTAATGGAGGGATATAAAGATGGTTGTTTGTATGTATTGTAATATTTCATATATTTGTTGAAATTATATTATTTTTAATTCTCACTTAGTAAGCACACACTTAACTGTTTGTATACACTATCATAAATTGGCTTTGGTTACTGAGACTTTTGAATCTCATTATGTGGTTAACAATTTTCAGGAGAAGAGCCACGAGTGACACGTGGAGGAGTCCCAGAGGCTTAGTGGTATAGATCCACTGTCTCTTTTGGGTATTTAATTTATGATTTATAATGTGTTATATTGTCAATATTAGAGCTTTTTGTTTATTGTCAATTATATGAATATATAAATGTAATCATGCCTTTCAAACTATTTCTATTTTTGGTACAATTTGGATGACTGTAATTTTAATATTTGGTTTACTTTGGATTGGTTAAAATGGCATCATTATAAAGCCAAATAATTGGCTTGTGTTGAAAATTGACTAAATTGCTTATTTTACTTGTTGGGAGTATAAGGATGGATAAATATGATTTAGCCTAATGGCATGTGGGAGGTAAAAATTTATCTGAAATGTTACAGTGTGTGAGTTAAAGCCAATTATAAAATATTTTATATTAAAATTATTGATATAAAAATGTGTTGTATGGCTGTAACCCAACTATGATTGAGTTAAATTATTTAAAAAAAAAATTTTTGGTGTGTTACAAAAACACTTAAAAAAAAAGAGAATGATTACACCTCAAAAAATTAAAAATATATTATATTTTTAAATATCCAACTCTTTAAAAAATATCTTATAATTTGTAAGAGAGTAATTATTAATTAAATTTTGTGAGACTGCTTGTGTCTTGTTAACCCGTACACATAGATAGATAGACCCCAAATACAGCACGTCCAAGATTGCTTTCCGTGAAACCGATAGTCGCTCCAACTATCACACCTAGAATTTCGATCAGCTTATTATGGCTATGAATGATGGGTAAACATCGTCAAACAAACAATCGCCACTGAATTCACGAAATTAAAGATGGTTATATCCTTTAAACAGAATTTCTCTCTCAGCTTCGTCCTTTTCTCACATCGTTCCCATTTCCACCAAACTTCTCTCCATCAAAACCTCTCTTCAATTCCTAAACTGATCACCTTCTCTTTCTTCGCCCCCACTTAACAAACACAACACATTCTTCGCACCCATCGAGTTCCTGAGAAGAAAAGAAAAACACATATAACATAAACACATGTCTAAACCACCTCCATGGTTTCTCTCTGGAATATTCAATTCAAAAACCCATGAATTCTTGAAATTCAGCCTCTGAGAGAGCACGTGCGCGCACACGCAGAGCCAGAATAGTTCAAAATGGCGGCGTCCAACAACAAGGTGAAGGGCCTTCTGAAAGGGCTCAGATACATTTCTCAGATATTTGGTTCGTGAATCCTTTCTCTTAATCGTATCGTATGTGTAATGGGTTGGTTTGTTCAGTTTTTCATTTTTGTCATGCTACGGTAACGAAAAGATTCATGATTGTGCAAGCAGATAATGAAAAAGAAGAAGAAATGCAGATTGGTAACCCCACGGACGTAAAGCACGTGGCTCATATAGGATGGGATGGTCCGTCAGTAAATTCACCCAGCTGGGTAATGAAATATATACTGTGTTATTATATATTGTATTTAGCATTATTTACACAATTAATGAAAATATATATACTCTGGTGTTTCGGGAAAATATGTGTTCGTCTCTGTGTGTGTGTGTGGTCTCGTGTAAATTTGTGCTCACAGAAAGCATTTCAGATGAACGAGTTTAAAAATAACACAGGCGCAGGAGCTCCTCCAGGTGTTAACGGCAACATCAACGAGCTTGATATGTTGACCTCCCAAGGTAGCCCCTTTCATCTCTGCGAGCTTATTGAATCGTAGCGCTTTTTTTTTTTTTTTTTTTGAATAAAGAAATGAAATACTATCATTCACATGGAAAAAATTATAGATGTGATACAACCAAAAACTGAATTATACTGCAATTTTTAAGCTACCATTTTGCCCCTAGACCTAGAGTTTATATATATGTATTGGACCTGCCGTGGGGTTTGATTTAGCTAATCCTCGCCACAAAAGCTGCATGTGCGATGAATTGAAGAGATTTTTTTTGAGAGAGAGAGAGAGAGAGAGAGAGAGAGAGAAGATCTACAAACAGTCTCATTCTTTTGCATTTTATTATCACATCACCACTCAATATTTTTAGCTTCCGTTAAAATTTAAATAGAAGAATAGTATAAAAGTTAACATAGTTTCATATATAGTTGACCTTAAAATATATCTTATGGTCATATGGAATAATTTAATTTTGTCATTTTTTGAATCGTGCTCAAATATAATTACATGTCAATGGCTGCCTGTCCAGTGACAATGTCGTTTATTTTACTTGGAAAAAGTTCTAGATTCAAAGTCAAATATAACATTGATGTGTTTGTGTGTAAGTCTCCATTTCCTATGAATAAAAGTTAGGTCAAGGGTAAATTTTATTTTAAAAAAATAGAATTACATTTTTCATGACATGTAAATTATGTAATTTGTTTATAATTTTCCCCCAAAAAAATGAAAATTTAATTACAGTTATTTATCAATAAATTTATATATTTGACTAGTAATTGAGCCAGATACCACTTTGTAAGTTAACATGTAAATGTTAGAATGATTGATCTTGTACAAATTCACTGTGTAATCAGCACTGGTTAATGTTTTACGTATAGATTCAAGAGGAAGAACGTCAAGATCTGCAAATTCGTCAGACAGAGACTTACCGGACATGCCTAAGTCATCAAGACGGCAGTCGAGCGGCGAGTTCATGGATTCACCGAGCAGAGAGAAGTCAGAAAAGCCGAGGCAAAGAAGGACATCTAAAAACAAGGATTCTTCTGATGGATCCAGAACGGCTCGGAATTTTGCGAACTTTGATATGGCCGAAGGAAGTGATTCGCCGTCGAGGAATCTGCATGACATTCCCAAGAAGTGCCGAAGGAAGAAATCTAAAGAAGCTTCTAGTAGTGCTGGTGGCGGATCAACAAAATCCAGATTGAAATCTCAAAACTCGGATCTGGATGTCGGGTCGCCATCTAGATCCGTACCCAGGTCCAGGAACAAACAAAAGTCCTTCGATGAAGACGCAGAGAGCGAAAAAGGATCATGATAGTGAAAATTCATGAGAAACTGGTGTAAGTATTTTGTTTTTGTTTTTTTTGGGTCAACAGAAATTGGTGTAAGTAAAGTAACTCCTTGCTAGCTAAGTCGCTAGCTTTTTGCACACGACCCGCCAAAAATAATAAGTTTTGCATAGTTGAGACTTGAAACGAGATCCGTTTTTCTGTCCTCCAATGTTTGCGCCATTTTTAAAAATGTCCGTTCCTAGTTTCCCTACTACAAAATTTCCTTTACTCCTTGCACTGACAATTTTTGCAAGCAAATCAGTTCATTGTGAGATTTGTAATTAAATAGAAGAGTTGCCTTGCATATATTGTTGTCTAGTGTGGCTTGTTCTCAAAATTACCCTTCTAAGGAATTTAAACTGAGTGATTTTGTCATGGATTTGACATTACCAAATTCTTTTCTCACAAGTCACAACACAATAGTAATTTGTAATTAAAAATGTTGTTTCACATTAAGTAACGTTACATTAATATAAGAGAAGTATATGTGCTTTTGAAGTTACATCCATCACAACTTATAAAAATTGACATTGGAAAGGGGCTCATATACTTATCCGTCAAAAGAGTTTAATAAAACAACACAAATAGTAAAAGTAAGTAAACGAGCATGCACTTATATATCACCAATTAGATGAAGCCATGTCATCATTTATCAGTTATCACTTGCTTTTTATCATCACTGGTTATTACCATTTTTTCATCTCGTATTTTTTAAAATCCTTACCTACTCTAAATTACCAGTATAACATGTGATTTGCTATTTTTAATGGGCAAAGACAAAACTTGGTCTCTTCTTGACCAGTCCTACTCGTGGTAAGGATGAACTACCCTCACAAACATGTAAAGACAAAAAAAATCCCCAGAGACATTAACAATGGACGAGGATTAAGATGCACCAAAGAAACTCCATTGAAAGTGACAGCGTTAGGATTATCTGCTTTCTTGTTGCAGGGCTTTATTTTCCCCAAGCTGCCTCTGTTTTTAGCATTCATCAATGCGTCGTCCACACAGAGCCATCTGTTTCCTTCCAACTTCAGCTTTTCTCTGACTTGAATTGAAGATGAGATTCTACCAGTCAAATTGTTGTTCTCCAAGTTTATTTCTTCTATTGAATCTAGGTGATAAAACTCCTCAGGCACGGGCCCTTCAAGCTTGTTGTTATCAAGCCCGAGATAGGACAAGTTTCTGAGATAAAAACCCATTGATGCAGGGATGTTGCCAATCAAACCCAGGTCTGAAAACCCTATTCTTTTGACACTCCCAAGATTTTCCCATATTTCTGGAATTTTCCCACCTAGAGAATTCCCACTCAAATACATTTCCTTTAATCTTGGAATTTCTCCCAGGAACAGAGGAATTCCAAAGTTACCGAAAAGGTTGAAGCTGAGGTCTAAAAACTCGAGGCTCTGCAAGTGTCTGAAACTTTCTGGGATCTGACCCGTGAGTCTGTTGGATCTCATATCAAGCTTCAGAAGCTCCTTGAGACTACCCAGTGATTCAGGTAAACACCCTTCAAAATGATTTTGACTCAGATCAAGAAGCTTCAGCTTCTTCAAATTAGCTAAACTCCCAGGAAGTTCACCAGCAAGTTGATTTCTCGATAACGTAATCTCTTCCAGATTAGCTAGATCACCCATCAGGTTAGGAACTTCACCATAAAACCCATTTCCCGTCAAAACCAGCCTCCTCAAGTTCGTAAAATTACGTAATATACCACTCAACGAGCCTGCCAAAGACGGATTCTCGATGAACACAAGCTCCTCCAGACTCGAACCAAAAGATAGAGAAACATCAGGAAGAGAAACCCTAGAGCCGTTGAAACATCTGTAAAAGAAAAGCTTGCGAAGGTACTTAAAAGAGGTGAAGAGCAGAGGGTTGAGAGTGGCATTTTGAGAGCAAGGAGGGTTAGGAGTGTAGTCTGACAAATACCCAAAGTTCAACTCAACAATGCGTGCCGTTTCAATGCCTGCATTACCGGAACCATCATATTCATAAGGATAATCGCAAAGGACGCCATGAGGGGCAGAGACACAGAGATCGTCAGGGAAGAGAGAACGCCAGGGGATGTCCGAGTTGATTGAGTCCAGCACCTGATAAACCGATTCCTGCTCCGCCGCGTCCAGCGCAGGTTGCTGGTAGGAGAGAACCACGAGGGACAAGATGACAAGAGCAAGAGTAGGAACTAGATGACGCAGACCCATTGAAGTCTGAAGAAGAAGAGGAGGAGGAGGAGGGAAAAAAACAAAAAAGAACGGCCGAGAAGCAGAGCAGCGATGTTTAGCAAAAAAAGTGTGGAAGCAGGTCGGCGAGAATGAAATAATGGAAAGAAGATGGCATAGCATATAAGGGAGAATGAAGAGACAAGCATAGTAGGATAATTGCAGATTAGGCGCCTAATGAATGACAAGTAACAGTAAACAGAATGCAAGACGATGAAGTAATTGGTAGTTATGAATGAAATTGATGCAGAAAAGTGGAAAGTGACGGGAAAGAAAGGTGTGGGGAGAGGAGAACAGTATGTTGGGGGCTATGGTACAAGTGCGATATGATTGTGGGACCAGAGGACAGAGGACTCTGATGGCGCAGAGGCAGAATAACTAACAAAGCGTCGGAGCAGGGCCAGCTAGCAGAAGCAGTGAAACCCTCGGAGACATTGCAAAAATCAAAAGCCTGCACTACTCATGAGTGCGACATTGACCCCTCTGGGGCTATGACTCTGCGAGCTTTAATGTAGGTGTGGCTCCTTAACTCTGAAAGGAAGCTGCCGGAGCCGACAGGGGCTCCTTAAAGCCGACACGCAGCCGCTGGACGCAGTCTCACGTTGCCGAGCACGAGAACGCTGATAAAAACAAGCAATTGATTTTGGTATTATCAATGAGTAGTAATCACATACTACCTGTTGAATTTATAAGTCCCGAAAATCATTTAATCTCATCCATAAATTAATGTGTGATTTTTTAAGTTACAGATAAAAAAAATTTTTAAAATTATTTTTTTACAAAAAAATAACATAACATTATTTTTAAATTTATTATATAAAAAATATTTAAAATTATATATATTTTTATTTTTTAAATTTTTTATATTGATATTGACAATATTAATAAAAATAATTTATATTCTTTCATTTAAAAATGTAAAATTTTTTTGAGAAGTTATACATTTAAAGATATAAATTATTTTTAATTTTTTAAAATGTAATAATTATTTTTTTATAAATATCTTTACTGATAATGACTTTATATTTATTATAAAATATTTAATAAAAATAAAATTAATTTAAAAATAAATAATTATTTTATTAAATGTGAAATTTAATTAAAAATATTTTATAAAAATAAAGAAATAGCAACGATAAGCTCTGTTTAAAATCTGCATTGTGGGACCCAGGGGAGATTTCCCCGGACCCATCGAACATTCGTTTTTTTTTTTTTTTTTTATTTGCCTGTTCTACCACTATAATCTTAACTTCCCGATACCACTGTCCCAGGATGTCACTGCCGGCCTACCGGGCCAGTGACATAACTTTAAATGGGATTGCATTCATTCCCTTCAATTTTTAAAATAACAAATGAATTTTATATTTAAGAACAAAGGAAAATGAAGAATGATAGCATTAGCATGTCGTTCATGAATTTGCTAAGGAAAAATATTTAAATACTCTTGCATTTTTCACCAAGACTAGACACGTGTATGTTAGTATTAAACATAAGATTAAAGTATATTTTTCAATTCCTTAAATTTATATAAAATTTTATTTTAATTTTTTAATTTTATAAAGTATATTTTCAATCTTTTAATCATAGCATCATTAGTTTTATCACAAAAAAATTTTAAATTAAATTTTTAAATATTAACAAAATATGATCAAATATTAACTTATTAAGTTTAATTTTTTAAAAATAATAATAATTGATACAAAAAATGATTATTTGAAACTAGCAATGTTAAAATTAAAAGACTAAAAATATATTTTATAAAATTAAATGTATACTTTATAAAATTAAAAGATTAAATTAAAAATTTATATAAAATTAGAAGACTAAAAACATTCCTTAACCTAAAAATAATCTTGTTTAAAGTACCATGAAATATTAGATGTATGAGTAGACACTTTTCTCAACAAAAATTCCAACATTGTTCATACATTGTGAGCAACAGTAGTCTTTTCCTTCAAAGGCTCAAACCCAATTCCTATTGGCTAAATGCTCTTGCATTTCAGTTCATAATGTTGATTAACCCTTCCTCTGCAAATAATTATAAGTCACTTTAACCAACTCAACTTAAAGCAAATAGTAAAAGTTTTTGTCACTTAAGTAAATACCTATGCAATTGTGATTCAAATCTTAATCTTGATGTATATTACAATTTATTTGGAAGACAATTATCATTTGCTCTTTCCTCATTATCTCAAAGGTGAAAATCTTGACCATCAATGGGGTTTATTCTTTATGCTATTCCAAAAAAATTACAAGTCACTTTTAATTAATTTACATCCTTAATATGTTAATTAATGGCCCTTAAAGTTACAATTTACACATTTTTTCCATGTTTATCCTTGTTTAACATGGCACCTCAATTTAAAACAAATATAAAAATTTCTGTGCATTTTAAATTTTTTTAAAAAACTGAAAAACAGTACTAAAAAGTTATAATTGTAGAAGGCTTCCATTTACCCCCTCTCTCTTAGGGGTGAGAGAGCAAAATAGATCTGAATTAAATTGAGTTTGATCTATTTGATTTAATTTTTGTATTTTAAAAAATTTTAGTTAATTGATTCAATTCGATCTTCAAATTTTAAAATTGAATAGATCAAATTCATAAAATTATCATATACACATACACAAATACATACATATTAGTAACTTATAAATTATATATGAAAATTAGAATAAAATACACTGACCAACCTTATATTATAATTTAATTACACAAACTTCCCTTTTATTTTGAAAATGCATATGAACCTCCCTTAAATTAAGACATATGTTGTATAAACCTCCCTTGTATATTTGAGATTTCATTTTCATCCATCAAATTGTTAGTTGACCATTAAGTCTTACTTTTGAACTTTTAATTTTACCCAAATGTCCCTCTTTAATCTAAGAATTTTGCTAAAAAACTATATCTGCAAAAAAAAAAATTCTTCGTATACAGCTAAAAGATATAATAAATTCATTTTCAATTTTTATTATCTTATCAAATTTATTAATTTGTATCATATTATAAAATTTTATTATTTTAGTTTTCATCAAATTTATTGAAACGTATTTATTTATTTTTTTAAATTGCAAAAAATATATTCTTGTCCGTCGCATAACATAAAACAATATAAATTCAAGATATTATATAAATAATTTAAATTTAAAATTTATAAACATGTTTTTTACAATTAAATTATGTAACTATGAACATAATATAATTTAGGATTGATTAGGGTGAGGGGTAAATTAGTAAATAAAAGTTTTTGTGATATAAATTTTAATTTAAAAATAAGTTTCTAGCATCTTTTTAGAATATTCCTAACAAAGTTATTAAATTGGATTAAATTGTATGTTTTTAAAATTAAGGGGAGGTCTGTATAATTAAGATAATACAGAATGATGGTTAGAGTTTTTTACTCTAAAGGTTATTACTTTATTTTTTTTTTATACTTCAAAAAAGAGAGAGTGTGTGTGTGTAAACAATTTATATGTCTGAAATCCTTAGAAGGTGCATAATTGATATAGTATTTTCTAACTCAAGTCGATCGAGTATTTTTATATTCTATACCAATGCAAGTTGTTTATAAGCCCATTATATATGTGTGGTGTGTCCCTTTATCAGTTGAAAACACAGGCAAAAGTTCATAGGAGGCAAGAGGTCTGGTCTAATCCCATTTTTATGCTTACAAATGTCTTCGTTAGTTTCTTTTTAATCAAAAATACAATGGATAAAATGATAGTAACATACTTCCAACCAAATATAAAATTCAAAATTGAATCATTAAAATTTAATTTAATATCAATTATTTTTATACATTTTAACACTAAATCAATAGATGCTCACCCTACTCAAGCAAAAGTCAACACAATGGAAGGAAGAAGATTATGGCTAAAATTGTTATTTTATCTGTACACTCTTTGACCACGCTAACAGTTGAAAGTAGTACAAGTAACATTTTATACACTCAATTTTGACACCAAAAAAAAAAAAAACATTTTATATGTTCAGTAACCATTCTGAAGTGAAGCTTTTTGTAACTGGCTTAGTGCCTCTGATAATAACCGAAGCGTATAAAGGGTGAGAATAGTATTCTTCATGAAGGACATTTTTACATAATCATTAACTACACAATGAAAATCAAAGAATGCTTTATATTTTAAAATATTTTATTTTAAAAATTGTTTTATAATTTTGAATGGAAAAAATATATGAATAGCTAAGAAAGCTGTATGATACAGACAATTTAGTGGGGACCAGGGACACGCTCATGAGTTCATTTTTAAAGCATTTTCTTGGTAGAACGAATGAATAAAACAACTAAAGTTTGGTAGTAAAATATACGTCTTTTAGAAAGAACAACAACTACAAAAACATAAAAATATCTATATATTTATAATTATAAATAATAAAGAAATTCCAGCAATCCCCAGTATTCACGAGCCATTAATAATGCAACTCATTTCTTGACATTTACACTACACTAGCTGTCTAAAGAATGGGGAAGCAAATAATCTTTTTATGGTGACAACAAAATAATGCCCTATTGTACAATACAAAAGTTCCAATTCCCTACTGCAAGTTCATCTGGCACTCAAGTCATGATTGGCGTCCCCCAAAAAAGGCGTCAAATAACAAAAGAATAGGGGTAAGGGGCTGCTAGCTTTACAAGAGAAAAACATTAGCCTAACAACCAAAACCTGAAGAATTTCACACACCAAAGAAAATATAAAATTAGAGAGAGAGAGAGAGAGAGAGAGATTCAGTATCCACTGCTGCCACCAGAAATCTCCTCTCATGCCTTCTTGGTCTGCATGAACAAACAATTGTTACAAAATCTCATATCTCTTCTCTGAAATGGACACATAAAAGAATGTCATTGAGACTGAGAATATAGAAAGTAGGGCAGTAAACGAGTAACACATGTTTCGAATTATAGATTACTAGTTTCACTGCCTTTGATCTGAATCTTCTAATCTTCCAACTCTATCTAGCAACTAGCATAGTTTTAGACACCCACCTCTCCCCACGAACAAAAAAACAAAAGACAAAGGAAGGTTTATTTTAAGATCGGAAGGTAACATATGATCCATCAAATCATTTCAGTTACTTAAATCCTACCCTGCTTCTCCTAAACAAACAAGAAAGCATGCATCTAAAACCACGAAAGACAATAATGGAACTTACCTTGCTCAGGTACTTTTTCTGAATTTTCAAAGCCTCAGTACATGCTTTTTTAGCGTCAAGATTTGATGTTATGTCACCCAAGATCTGGACAGAATGGTTAATGTAAGATCCATGCAGAAACAAGAGTAAATGACTAATGCATATTTCAAACTATAAATACATGCATCCATGCGGGGGGTGGAAAGAGAGACCTTAACAACATCATCTACACCCTTAGCCTCCTTTAAAATCTGCCTATTCTTCACTTCAAGAACACTAGCAACAAGAAAAACAGCTAGTGCACTTTGCTGCTCAGTATTGCCCGTCCTCAAGTTCTTCCTCTGAAATTTGCCATATTGCTTCAACAACTTGCCACTTACTACAGGTGCGTTTTCACTTGTTTGGGCAATTTCTGGCTTTTCATATAATGAAAATATGTTTGGGTTGTATTCCATGGCCCACATCAACTGTAAACAATCTATATTATGTCTTAAAATGAGCTTCTTAATTTGTAGCTTGTACAGACTCCAAGCTATCATTTTCATTAAAAAATAATCAAGGAACCAAAAAAGCATAGCTACTCAATTTTTCTCAAGGAGCCCATATAGGCTGGGGATATCGATTCCTCCTTACCTCCCAAAGATAAAGAGCATCTGCAAATGAAAATTCTCTGCGGAAAAGAACCATCAGCATGCGAAATGCAAAGAGATACTCCCCAGCATCTAAATCATCTGCAAAACAAATATATACAAGTTTATGAGCTATTTTTGAGGAGTTCATACAGATGTAATGTTTCTCTATGAACTTAGATAGATTTAAGGATGGGAGGGATAAACAAGCAACCACTCCTTTATAGTGAGGACCCTAACTGCTATAGCCATTAGAACACACATTTGCAAGATGGTGCATGGTTTTCTGTTATCAAGGAAGAACCTCAAAATGTGATTGTCAAAAAGAATTTCCCATCAACATCGACTATCTCAAAAGCATGTTTACACTTTTGGAACATTTGACTTTGATTCTAGTCAAAATGATAATTTTGAAACCAGAAAATATTAATCATGACACATTAGAAGCTGCCCATACATATTTCCCATACCAAGATGTTGGTGAAGCTTGGGATCAACAATTTTAATAATCTGGGAGAGCGTACTCAACTGAGATTGCACCCCCATCGAACTTGCACTAGTCCTGAAATTCTCTCTCTGTAATGCAAAAACAGCATGAGTATGAACTCATCACAAAAACTCATTATCCAGGGACAAACATTTAGTCCTTGTACAAATGAAAACAAGTGCAATAACCGATAGCCAGAAAGAAACTGAAACCAATTTAGAGAAACCCCATTCTCCTTCTCCCAATTTTATCTTTGGGACACTTTGTTGACAAGTTGTGATTTTAACCCTAGTTACAAAGAAGTTTCAGACTGTTCCATGAACTAAATTGAGAGGCTTTTCTCTAGAGGACCAAATTTAAAGGTGAGTAATCTTTATGTTCTAAATCGTTAATTGACTCAAATACCTTTTTTTTTTTTTTGTGAACAACTGACTCAAATACTTATTATTAATATTTGTGGTCCATAGTGTGGCGACTTTCTCAGTGTAATATTGACCACCTAAACATCAAACATCCAAAGGTGACACTCTCAGGCAAAAATAGCATAGCATAATCACAATATATCTGGCATACCAGCCTTCGCATAGCACGCTCAAAGCACCAAAAGGAATCTGCCTCATCCTCAAGAAGTATCACCATAGGTGAGCATATGTCATTCATTCCTGCAACAGAAATAATAACTGGAAATGTCTCAAACTGATGATACTTCAATTTGACAATAAAGGACAAAAATTAGTAATTCACCTTGCACATAGCCAATATCATCATCCAACCAGGTATAAATTGACAGAACATCCCATAGTTTTGCCTGGTTAGTTTCACTCTCATAGAACACAAGAGCTCGATCTGTTCTTACGACATCCAGACCTACAAAAATAATTATTTAACAGCATGGATGGTTGCTGAAAGAAGAGGCAAACATTTCTGCAGCAAAAACCAACGGCATAAACCCATGCAGCTAGCATATCCTTGTGATGCTAATGCACTGTGAATATTAATGGACTGGCTGTCAGCACCTCAAGAACTTAGGCAAAAGCCATTCAATATCCTTGATCTCATTATATTACATAAATATGCAATTGGTCTGTTACACTCAATCCTCACTATTGTGTTAACAAGTGATCATATGGTGGCATATATCAAATGTTACAAGCTTGCTGCCATGCATGTGCAATCCTCATATTTGAATTTAAAATTAATATTTAGGGTGCTTTTCCTCTTCATGGGGAACATTCATTAACTAACCAGTTTAAAGAAGGCCAAAGACCATGCCGCAAAAGTTGTAGGACAAACTAAACCCCAACAGAATGGATATATCTACAAAGCATTTAACGAATATGGAGCAGTATATACATACCAATCTGATGTAATGTCTGCACCCACTGCAGAACCTTCTTATCTGAAAGCGGTATGCCTATCAAAGAATCATCTGTTGGCTGGCCATCGTCACCGATGAGAGGTCTTGTGATGAATTTTCCAGTACCAATAACTGGAACCATCCTTTGACATTCATCTTTCCATGTATTAAACTGTTGCCTGGATAATAATTTTAGACAAACTAATATTGTATTTAGTATTTCCAACCAAGGGCAGGGTGAGGGGGGTGGGACCAGCAGAATTGGGATTCAAAACCTGGCAAATTTGAAAGACCAGCTAACTTTTAGGGGGGAAAAGAAAAACATGGCCATATATGAAATTTAAGTTGCTAACTTGCTAAATGAAGAAAAACTGAAGACATGATAACCGTTAAGGTTCATGGGATGGGACAAAAGAATGGAGTTCAATAGAACTCAGCAGTAAATTCTGCACAACAAGAACTTCATTGAGTACTAAAATAGGATAGCTAAATTTAGAAGACCATATGAATCCGTGGAGTATTGTTACTCTCTTTACTTTATTTAAACAGATTTATGAGCTCAACAAGATATGTACGAGTGGGTAGCAACCACTATAAGAATGTCTAGTGGTAAAACAAAAGATTTTCCTACAAGAATTGGCTTACATCGAGGATCATCTTTGAGTTCTTATTTGTTTTGACCTAATCCTAGATGTTTTAATTGAGTATATTTAAGAGAAAATCCCTAAATGCATGCCTTTCGCAAATGGTATAGTTCTTATTATGGAGATAAGAAAAGAGAGATTAACTGTAAACTTGAATTATGAAAGAGGACAATGAAGTCAAAAGGTTTCCACCTAAGTACAAGTAAGATGGAATATTTGCATTGTAATTTTAATAAAAAGTCAATCAGTAGTAATTTAAAAGTGAAATTGGAAGATCAAATTATACCTTAAGTGAAAAAATTTAAATATTTGGGAGCTACTATTCAACATGATTGGGGAATTCATGGAAATATTGCACATAAGATACAAGGTAGGTACTTTGATTAAAAAAAAGCTAAAGGACTTATTTGCAATCGTAACATACCTAATAAACTTAAAGGAAAGTTTTATTAAACTACTATAAGACTAGCTATGCTAAAGAGTAGTAAATGTTGGGTTTTAATGGGACAGTAAGAGTATAAAGTTAGAATAGCAAAGATGAGAATGTTGAGATAGACGTGTAGGTGTACATGTAAAGATAAAATTCAAAATAATCACACATGAAAAAAAAGTGGGTGTAGCACTTATTGAAGAGAAAATGATAAAAAATCATTTGAGATTATTTGAATATGTACAAAAAAGATCACATGAGGAACTAGTGAGGAGAGTGGAAACAGATAATTTCAAACCCTATTAAGAGGGCCAAAAAGAACACTTGTGGAAGTTGTTGATCAAGTCCTCTTAATTAATAACATTCTTAAAAGCTTGGTAAATAACAAAGCACGATAGCATTATACAATCCATGTTGTTATTGTAAGATATACCTCCTTTGCTCCTTAAGTTGATTCCGTTCTTCAAACGTGCTGTTAGGATCATAACAGCCTAACAAGAACTCCCACACTACCCTTTAATTGAAGGATGTATGCCCTGCACAATTTACAAAAATAGAAATGAACATAAATTAAAGAGCGCACATATTTGAAAGAATAAAGCATGAAAAAAAGTAAAATACAAATTTTTTAACATGAAAAAAGAGCACCAGCGGTCCAGTTGCAAAATAAAATACACATCGGATTGTCATCATAAATCACATTATTGCGTGAAAGATACAGGGGAAATGGTTCAATAAAAAACATTTAACCAAGTACACTTTGGGAATTTACAATAACCCATTATTTTCAGTTCTTACTAACATTTCTATTCTGTTTCTCATTAACTAACAAAAGTTGTCATAGTCCTCCTAACTAACAGAACAGACTTATTATAGAAATCAACACGCAACAACTATTCTACAGTGATATTGTATCCCTATCATAGAGAACAGTATCATAACAGATAAAAAAGGTGGAAACATTTACATTGATATGCATTCAAATTTCAAACATAGGAAAGGGTCAGCATGGAGTTGCTGGCTCATTCACATATTTGTGGCAAAGCCACACAGATACACACATACAGAATAGCAACTATAAGAATGTCATTACATATGCAGGGATGGGTGCTAGTTCAATAAGAACCCCTGCATATTTTGAAAAAGAAAAATAACCTTCAATCAACTAACTCTTGTTGCTTTTCACCAGTGAACTATGAGAAAGAGACTCAAGTTTAAGTGGAGTGGCCATATCAAGATATACTTAAATGCAAGCCATTGTGATGGAAACATCACTGTAAGTGAGGAAAGAGAGACATCATGAATTCAACAGTTGAGTGAAGATTGGCTGAGCGGGCAATTTCCATGGACCCACTGTAGTTTTTCAAAAGGATAACAATTAATGAGTGCATGGCAGTGATTATGGTACATTTGTCCACTAAATCCCTTTCTGATGCAGAGAAATGTTCTGAAAGGGCATTTCCAAAGACATCGTCAATATATATATATAATATTATCTATAATAAAATCACTAATCACTTTAAATCTGGCAAGGTTTAATGGAACCAAATTATACTGTCAACCCTGAAACTAAGATCTAAATTGCAAAGAGGTAAATAAAGTAGAGATTAAATGTGTTCATGTATCAGATTCCTTACAGAAGGAAAAATGGAAGAAAAAGAGATAAATCATATTTTTTTCCTTAAAATAATGATAATAAAGTGGGACTTAACTGCAACATTAATAACCCAGCCACCCAGCACACAAGAGAGTGAGGAAGGCTGAGAACATATATAAGAGACTTATCTCTTCTAGTTTAGCTTAAGAGCAGCAATTGGGCGCCATTACTACAGACAGAATAATCAGATTCAGATCACTTCATCCAATTTGTGTTACATAAATAATCTCATATCATGTTGAGATAATTGCAAACAAATCTACCATGACTAAACTTGAATCCAACGCATGTTCACGCATTCATAATATACAATTCCATAAGGACACAGTCGTCTAAATCTGAACAGCATTAAAAGATTACCCCCGTTGGATTCGTCTAAGCACTTTGGCAATATCCAAATGACCATCTTGAGTGAATGATGCATGCCATCTTCTTTCACTTAGAGTTTTGCCAGCCTGCGGAAATAGAGAGCACCAAAAGATTGATCACGAGATAATGCTGAAAAATTAAATTAAAAAAATCAACCCACTCGTGTATGTCTGTGATAGTAATGATGAAAAATAAGCATAATTTTTCTCCGAAAACATTGCAAGGTTTTAATGAACGACTCCCTGTTGGATCTTACCAATGCATCAGTTCAGTTCCTTATCACATTGTATGGGGAAAACCTTCCACATAGCCATAATTAATATGCTTTTTCAAACAACTAATATTGACAAGTCACGATAGAGAAAACTAGAAAGTAGAAAAATGCACCCTTGGTTTAAAATGAGTCTTCGGAACGTCAGCTTTACATTCTGGTCGGATGGGATAGAAGGCATCCAACTCAGTTGTCCCATCTCCCTTGGAATTTCCAAACATTCCCAAACAAAAACAAGTATCAAAGTGCTGTACGCGACCGGAGGTCTGGGATTCGTCGCATCTCGCCAGTTGCTAGGACTTAATGTTTAAATCGCTGCCAAGTGAACAATCCTACCTCAATACATAAAACAAAATAACCAATCTCAATGTTAATGACATCTTTCCAGGAACACAACTCGCATAGTTTCCTTGAAGTCACTCGCAACGGAAAAAAACAAAAATCCAATGCTCCAAAAAATCATTTTCGACCACCCTTTCCCTGAAATCTACGAATTTTGTTATCAAATCTTCATCTGTTAGCGAGATTAACAGAAAATAGGTCCAGCCAATCTGAGTCTGAATATTAACCCAGTGTTTAAGTACGGAGAAAAGATGACATGTTCAAGTATCCAATCAAAGGAAAAAGAAAAAAAGAAAAAAAGAAAAGGGCCAAGACAGAATGAATTAATTACCTTCCCAGTTCTCAGTTCTCAAACGATCATGGAAATTCATATAATTTCAGACCCAAAGCTGAGCAGATTGCAAAATTTCTAGCGGTGCACTGAATCTCTGAGTTATTGAAATGATAATTCCATAATAGTCAATGCCATCCGTCGCGTAAAGCGCTTCGGAAGGTAGGAATGTTGGAGAGTTTGTAGGAAGCAAAAAGAGCAAGTCGAAAATGATGCTACGGAAGACAATCGAGGGAAATCATTTGAATGAGTTGGCCAGAGAAAATACACCATGCGGTTGATGCAAACGATTTTCTTTTCTTTTCGCCCGATGAACTGATGCAAACGATTTATTCAAGCTTCTTCGATATTTTACCTCATCCAATGTAAAATTAAATATTTATTGATGATTATTGACGAACTATTTTAAATTTTAATTTTAATTACGTTAGGTTTTGGCCAAAAAAAAAAATCATGCGGGGTTTGTTTAGGCTAATCGGGTCAATTATTTTAGAAATTCCCCGCCCTATACTTATTTTGAAAAGTGTCCTGAACTTGAACATTTGTAAGTGAGACAATTTTTTTAAGAAAAAATAATAAAATTTTTAAAATATATAAATAATAATTTAATTTTTTAAAATGTCATAATTTTTCTATACTTTTTAAAAACTTTTATATCATTAATAAATTTATATAAATTATCAAATTATTTTTATTAAAAATGAATAATTATAACTTTTTTTATATATTCGTAATTTTTCTTTTCATATTCGTAATAATGAAATAATAAATCATAGCTTTACACATTAAATTTTTTATTTAAATTGTATTATTATAAATATAGAAAAAAAATTGTGAATCATTATTTTTTAACAAGAGTAATTAATAATTTATATAAATTTATTAATAATAAAAAATATTTTAAAAATTTTAAGAGAATTATATCATTTTAAAGAATAATTTTTTTCCTCTACGCTTTTTTTTAAAAGAGCAAAATTGGCCTTTTATTGGTGTCTCATTTATTCTCCTGTTTAGTGCTGACTTGACATCCAATGTGTGAGCTTTACCCTATGATGTGGCAACCCTATGTATTTTAACATTTAGGTGTGAAAACTGAAGAGCCGTGCTTGCTCTTATTTTCTTTGTTCTTCTTTCTTCTTCTCCCTCGAATTCCAACAACACCCAACTCTTGTCTTGGCTTAAACAAATCTATTTTTAAAAAATAAAAATAAAAACATGTCAACTTTGGAGCATTTATGTTCTTGGATTTCTGACGGAAAGCTAAAGAATTATCAAGAAATTAAAGCCAATGAGTCCTGATTTATGCTACGACGGAAATAAAAGAAAAAATCTGAACAGGAGCTCGTATGTGTTTGACAAGGGTGGAAGTACGCTGGTTCTCCCTGGGTTTGTCCTTGTGATGTCTGCAAATGTATTGAGTCTTCGGCAACTACATCGCTTCGAATGATTACGATGACGATTTGAAAGTATGGGAATGGCTCTAGCAGTTCAATAAGAGAGGATTTCTAACGTGGAGGAGATGATAATAAGGCCAGGGACGGACATGGGGGTTAAGCAGTAAGCACCTTATGTGGCAAATTTTTGTGCAAAACTTACTTTGTGTTTTACTTGTAAAAAAATGTTAAAATTGATCTTTTTTCCTCCCCTATTAATTTTGCATGTTGGCCCCACCCCTAGACCGTTGTTTCTAAGTCAGGCCCTGGATGAGGGATGAACAAATTGCTTATTTCTACTCGGTCCCCAGGGTATCTTTCTGTCTCTAACTTCTCTCCCTGGTTTGCTCAAAAAAAAAAAAAAAAACTTCTCTTGCGTAGGATAGAAATTGAAATAAATATAAAGTGTTTTTGGATTTATGCCAAAAAGTTAAAGAATTATCAAGAATTAGTTCCAAGGTTGTTTATTCTGTACTAATAAAGTCTAGGACGAAAATCACAAAACTATCAGCCTTACGATTTATTTTTCCTTTTCCTAGGAAGTGATTGTCAGCCGGCTTAGAGATTATTGAAATTTTGTCGCAACAAACATTCTTTAGAAATGTGTAGCTGCACATAGGGCAATCAATATGTTTTAGTTTAGGATCAACTTTTGCGGGCTTGATGAATATCACTGGCTTCACCAAAGTACTTCATTTTTTGCTGAAGACTGCAATCTAAAATAGATTTTGCCCACAATTAACTCTTCGCTTGTCACTTTCTTCTCCCGTTTTCTTTAAGTCGCGTGTGTGTAATTTATTGGTGGAGAACTGGAGAGCCACGCCATTACAGGGGGAAAAAGCATAATGTATGCCGTGTCATAGAGTCAAAGAGGGTTAGAGCTTACATACTATATGCTAAGTCAGCATAAAACGAGAGAAAACGGCACATGAACATTAGGGCAATTTGTTTCATCCGAAAAATAGTTTAGCAAAAAAATGCCACACTTAAAAATCAAGATGCTCAATACTGCTTAAAAATAAATATAAAAGTAAAATTAAATCTTAACCCAACATAATGTAATGAATTTTGGGAGAGCAACAAATAAATCTCTTTAAATAGAAAAATAACAATTAGGTCTTATAAAATGTAATAATAATAGTGAGGCTCCAAGGGATTGCTTTAAAATTAAATTTTATGTGAAATTACTTCAGTGTCTCTCCCTTATTTAAAAGCTATGATTTTTAAATCATTTTAGTTATTGATGAAATAAAACTTATAAATATTTATATCAAACTTGTAATAATATAAACTTGGTTGGAATCTATTAATAGAAAGTTGTGATTTCTTAAATCATTTTACTTATTGGTGGAATCAATTTTTTGAATATTCATACCATGCTTATGAATAATACAATTAGTTGGACTTGTTGAATGAAGAAAATTGCTAATAAAAAGTTATAGTTTCCTAAATTATTTT